AGACAAAAGGTTGATATCCAGGATCTATAAAGAACTTCTCAAACTCAACACACACAAAACAGATAATCATATCAAAATATGGGCAGAAGATATGAACAGACACTTCTCCAATGAAGACATCCAATGAAGGCTATCAGACACATGAAAAAATGTTCATCATCGCTAGTCATTAGGGAGATTCAAATTAAAACCACATTGAGATACCACGTTACACCAGTTAGAAAGGCCAAAATTAGCAAGACAGGAAACAACGTGTGTTGGAGAGGATGTGGAGCAATAATATTGTGAAAGGAAGGCTTCTGAGTAGTAAGTCTCAATAGTGGGCTTAAAATATTTAGTAGCCCATGTTAGAAACAGATAAACAGATATGCTGTCATCCAGGCTTTGTTGTTTCACTGATAGAGCACAGGCAGAGTAGATTTAGCATGATTCTTAGGAGCCCTAGGATTTTCTGAAAGGCAAATGAGCATTGGCTTCAACCTAAAGTCACAAGCTGCATTGCACCTAACAAGACAGCCTGTCCTTTGAAGATCTAAAGTTAGGCACTGACTTCTCTTTAGCTATAAAATTCCTAGATGCCATCCTCTTCTGTTTCTTCCACACCAAAAAAATCTATATTTAGTGTAGCCACCTTCATGAATTACTTATCTAAGTCTTCTGGATAACTTACTGCAGCTTCTACATCAGCACTTGCTGCTTCACCTTGCACATTTTTGTTATGGAGATGACTCTTTTCTTTAAACTTCATGAATCAACCTCTACTAGCTTCAAACTTTTCTTCAAACTTTTCTGTTAGCTTCAAACTTTACAGCTTCCTCACCTCTCTCACCCTTCAGGGAACTGAGGAGTGTTAGGAAGTTTCCCTGGATTAAGCTTTAGCTTGAGGGAATGTTGTGGCTGGTTTGATCTTCAATTCAGATCTCTCCACCTTTCTTCATATCTGCAAGAAGTTTGTTTCATCTTCTTACCACTCTTGTGTTCAGTGGACTAGCACTTTTAATTTCCTTTGAGAACTTTGCATTCAAAAGTTGGCTAATTGTTTGGCACCAGAGGCCTAGCTTTTGGCCTATCTGGGCTTTTGACATGCCTTCCTCACTAAACTTAATAATTTCTAGCTTTTTATTTAAAATGAGAGACATGTGATTCTTCCTTTCACTTGAACACTTAGAGGTCATTGTAGGGTTATCAACTGGCCTAATTTCAATATTGTGTCTCAGGGAATAAGGAGAACCAAGGAGATGGAAAGAGATGGGGGAAGAGCTTGGTTGGTGAAGCACTCAGAGCACACATACTTATTTATTAAATTCTCCATTTTATATAGACGTGGTTTGTGGTGCCCTAAAACAGTTGTAATAGTAACACCAAAGGTCACTAGTCACGAATCACTATAATAAATATATTAATAAGGAAAAAGTTTGAAATATGGCAAGAATTACCAAAATGTGACACAGAGTCATAGAGTGAGCAAATGTTATTAGAAAAATGGCACCAATTTGATCTACAAAGCACAATAAAGTGAAGTGCAATGAAATGAGATATGCATGTATCTTAGTTAATAATAATGTATCAATATTGGTTTGTTAATTTTAAAAACCCAAAACAAATCTTACAAATAATGTAAGATAATAGGAATAACTCGGTGTAGGCTATATGGGAAATCTCTGGACTGCCTTAGTAATTAAAATCAATCTGATCCAAATTTAAATTTTGTTTTATTTACAATAGTCTACTGAAAGAGAGTCATCCTTTCTCTCCTTTAAATGTTAGAAATTCAGGGTTTTTTTTTTTTTGTGGCCAAAGATAATGTAGTTAGACTGTTCTTAGGGAGCTGTTGGGTTACTACTGAACCATAAGGATTTTTGTTGTTATTGTTGTCAAATATATGTGTGTGTGTAGGTGGGATGAGGGTAAAGTTTAATAACTTCATTTTGAAAAAATTACTATCCTTTTCAGAGAGCCCTAGATTTCAAATGTTTGAAACCTAAGTCTCAAGTTTATTCTTGTTAAGGAAAGACATTTAGTGTTAGGCAACTAGGTTCTTATTTTTCCCAAGAGAATTCTTAAGATATACCTTTTAAAATAGTTTTTGTATTCTCCTATACTTTTGCCTTGGCATAAAAGTGATCATTACATCATAAGAATATTCTCAACCTAACAGAATTATTTTTTGTAAGACCTCTTGAAAATTCTAACTCCCTCACTGAATCGAAAATGCTATTGGACTTTATTATGACCACTTTGGGGTAATTTGAAATGTCCTAATTTTTTTCCCCTATTAATGTCATGGTTTTTTTTCCCCTAAGAAAAGAGTAAGGTGTTCTAATGTTCTAATGTTATAAAGACTTTTTTTTTCCCCCCCTCTATAGCTCTCTTATAGCCTAACTTAATCTATCTATATCTGGTAGGGTAATACACTTCCTTCCAACCTTTAGTGGGTGAAGTTTATTTATCTTCCAATCTACAAAACTGAGTTAACTCCTAATAACCCCTGATACTCAACAGAAACACAACTGCACTTTGGAATTAGTCATCCATCTTTATGTCATAGTCTCTTATTTGTCACTGCAAAAGAGTTGTGTAGCAGATATTCCACAGTATTATGTACTATCAATAGAATTTCTTTGCAAGAGAATTGTTTTAAAATCTATTATTTGATTTTGACCAGCTTAACACAAATCAATTTTTTCCCCTGTATGTTCTGGCTGGAACATCTAAACACAACAGTCAAGTGCTCTGTTAGCCACTGTACAAAATTGTGATGGATTTGCTAAAGTTAATGACAGTCTCAATTAATATTTCTCTGTCATCATTAAGAAATCAATTTTTCCACTTCCTATCTCTAACATTTTTTGAATAGAGTAGTGATTAGGTTTTAAGGTTTATTTTTCTGTATTTCATAAATTATTTTTACTAAATCAATCCAAGCCTCATTTTTCTAATATGTTAATTGATTGTTAGGCTATAGTAGAAAAAAATCTGAAGTGCTCAGCATAGGGTATTATACATAGTAATTCCTTCATAGATGGCAGCTTTGCTATTTTTATACTGTGCTGTGCTTCTGTCCTGCTTCATATGCCATGTAAAATAGGTGAAGAGTTTGGGGAGGTATCTTCCACATATGTTATACCACATTTGCTCTACTTGATCAACCGTGCAACAGAGAAGAATGCTTCTTCAGTACACAGAATTCACTGAATATGGAAGAGTTTGACATTCTTATTTTATTTCTGGTAAAACAGTCTTAAGTCTTTCAAATGTCTTTGTACAAAGTAAAAGTTATAAGCAAAATATAAAAGGATGATGTTATTTAAGGATGATGTTATTTATTACTAACAGAAACAGGCTCCTTTGAACATCCTATGCTGAAATGTTTGTTTAATACTATGATTCACAGAAGCTTTCTTTCTAGTCCGAAGCAAATGCTCAAGTGAAACAGCATTTATTTTATTAAGCAATACTGATATGTCTTTTATTGGTTGGACTCTGGCAAACACTTGACAACAAATGGTACTTTACCCAAAGAGACACGTATCATGCATGCATAGCATAGTCTAACCACAAACATTAAAGTTCTATGTAACTGTGAGCCTCAAATGGAAATACAAAAGATAGTTTTCATAGAATCACATGAATCAAACCAATCTTTAATTTAAACAAATAAGAATGTAAAGTTTATGTGTCTATAATAGCTTCATATCACTATGTATGTAATGCAGATATTGTAGAGGACATAGAAATCCATTCAAATGTAAAGCAGCAAAGCACTTTCACATTACCTTGTACTTATAATTCCTGCTAGTGATAAAAACCTATATTTATTCAACAAACATTTTTCTAAGAATGGCCTTTTCTGTTTACCCCAGGAAAACTTATTATTTATACTTTTGAGGTGGTAGTCACAGCTGAACATTTTATTTTTGTATAGGTACTTTAACCTTGATTTGTATATGAAACTTAGGATAGCAAATTAAGTTTTAATATCAATAGGTGATAAAGGCAATTTTCATCCTTCAATTCTTTAAACAAAATATATTTCAAGAGGTAATATGCTTAACTTTGGAAGTTTAAAAATTTTATATTTCATTTTGTGACCCCATTAAGTTAGCTGTCTTTTATCTGGTTTGTCTAAAAGATATAAGTTTAAGGTTAGGATTTTAGAAGAGGGCTTTGAGAAAGAGGAGGGAAGATTTAAGAACCCGTTTTATACTTAAAGATAGCTGTAAGTATTTTGAAATTCATTCAAATAAAGCCCTTCACCAGTGCTTTACTCCCTGCCAAAACATCCCTACAGACACCCGGACTCCCCACCAACCATCTCATTTTAGTAGGTTTTCTTCATAGCAGGTTTCTCTTGCAGGAGTTTTCAAGGACAAGAGTTGGTTCACTTAACCAAACTAGAATATTCACTTTAATTCTAGAGAAATTTCCTAATTAATTTTCTGTAGCAAAAATGCTAAGGGCTAGAATTTCCCTTCTGAATCTCTTCCTAGAAATGGGATCCAGAAAGCACAGGGGACACCTAGCCAATCTGAGGACTCAGACAAGTATTTCCTGTCATGGAAATAGCTAGAGTTCTGCTATAATATCCTCACTTGACCTGCTAGCATGTTAGTGATAGTGCTGATTTACTACAACCCCATTAATTTCACACATAAAGAGAACAGTCTAGTTTTCAAAATGGAAAGCTCTATCTGCTATAACATTATTTTGAAGTGGTTGGTGGTGGTACAACTTAAAAATTTAAAAATAAATCTTAAAATTCAGAATGATTTTTAAATAATAGCATACACATAGTATTAAAAAATTCCAAGGATGTAATAAAATTCAATTAAGTTTAGCTTAGTTTGAGAATCCTCACCACCCTCCCACATAAAGTGGGAAAATGCACAGAAAAGCACTTAACATAGGATGATGATGACTGTGTATTGAGCAGAGAAGTATCACCACCAGTTTTTCTCAAGTGTCCTTCCACACTTCTGAATTGATAGGAAGGCAGACTGGTTTAGCTCTCAAAAGTGAAAATTTTCTTGATTTTTCTTCTTAAGTAAAAAAAAAAAAAATAATTAAGTAGAGTGAGAGACTGAAAACTGCAGCCCACCTAAGTTTAATCATTAATAGTGAGTTCTTTGGTGACCTTAGGTCCTCATTTTGGAGTTTGGAATCTGACCTTTCCCCAAAGATAAACATGCTTGTTGCAGGTTCTGAGGAGGGTCACTCCCTCGCTGCCATCAGAAGAGTCCACTTCTCAGTGACTCCTGGCTGGGAACTGGATGCATTAGAGGGTAGCTAGTCAATATGATTCTCCTCGCCGTGCTTTTTCTCTGCTTCATTTCCTCATATTCAGCTTCAGTTAAAGGTAAGTTTGTATTTTTGCTAAACCTTAGTTTTAATCATTGAGGGAAAAAGTGTGTGTGTGTGTGTGTGTGTGTGACTAGTGAAAGAGTTCCTAACTAAACCATCTTCAAAACGACATAACTTTGGAATATTCGTGAAGGCATGCCTGGGTTGGAATGAAAACCAAATTCAAATTCCTACATACATTAAGAAAACAGAGGTTCCTTTTAGTTTCAGCCCCTTAGATTAATGTGCTCCTTGCTTCAGTTTCTCATTCATGGTCTATTTTTAAAAGAGAAAAGAAATGCCAGCTATTGTTACCTGCTGTTGTTGGTCACTAACTGAATGCAGCTCCTTCATTTGAATTGTAAAAGAGGATTTAAAAAAAAAAAAAACCCAGTTTTTAAATTTCCTTCTAGTTGCTTAGCAATGTGACATCAAGAAGAATTAGACCCAATGAAAAAGGCATTTGATCTCCCAAAGAGTTATGAATGAAATGGTAAAGCATGCATTTAATTGTATTACCATTCAAAAGTGAGAATTATCATAATTGGTGAATTAAAGAAAATAAAACTACATGGTATAGATTTCAGAAATAAGAATTATTATGTTTGGATTAATAGCGTTACCAGTTATAGTTTCTACTTGAAGAAAAGTTGATTTTAAAAAACATAGGAATTGATACCTTTCAGAACAAACATATTTTAAAAGGGATGTTTTCTAAAAGCTGAATGAAATGTATTAATATGGAATTTTGTTTAAATCACCTAGTATATAAACAAACTCCTTGGATTTCTACATGTTGTACCTGATGTAAAATAAACATTTAGAGTCTCTTAATCGCACACACTGTAAAAAACCAATTGATCTAACACATAACTTAGCATGATAGGGTCCAGTTTTAATAACTATGTACTCTAAGTGATGTAAAACAATTCACTTATAAAGTTCTAAAACACTTTTGGGATAAGTAGCTTTTGATCTTAAGATAAAATTAGTCTCAAGATTTTTCTTGAGAGACAATCTTTGTTATTGAAGCAATAAATGCAAGGCTAAATTTAAGTTCTTGAACTAAAGATGGTATTTTTCGCCAGTTTCCAAAGTGTTGATTATTTAAAAATACAGTCCTTATGTGGTATATCTGCCAAATAAATTGTTTATAGTGTTTAAAATATGAGGGATTTATATATCGTAGTATCAAATCTAATACCCTTATTATTTTGAGAAAAATTATTGAACTATAGTAGTTATTATACACTTCTATTTTTTCCCACTTTATAAAGGAGAAAATTGGATAACTTGATGTTTTCCAATACATGCACTTCTGAAGACTCTAAAACACACAGACACACACACACACAGAGACACACAGACACACACACACACACACACACACACACACTACAATGACATACAGAAATACAGTTTAGAACATGACAGATAGCTACAGTTTGTTGTATACAAGCTCAGTGGCAACTCCAGAGTTTTAGAACCTGAAGCTTATGCAATTTAGGAGCCATCTTTGAGAAAAGATTGCAAAAACATCTTACTTCTGCAAATGTTACCGTAAAAAAAGATATGGCATGTGTACACATTGCTAGGGTCCCCTTCCAAGTCCTTGGAAAGAGCTTGGGGGTGGGAGAGCCCCAAAGCAAAGCATCATTAGCTTCAGGCTACAAGCTGCTTATGTCAAATATCATAAATAAAAAGTAGAGGACTTGACAGCTCTCTCTACCTGGATGTGATAACTTTTTGTCTTATGGTACCATGATTTCATTATAGATACCTTGCCCTCTGTAATGATTGACATTTAAGAAACAAACTACTTGTAAAAGTCTATTTTAAAATCAGACCATTATAAATTTTGGGATCTCATGTATAACCTCAAAACCCATCTCAAACCTAATTATAAATGCAACTGCTTAGCAAATCCCCAGATCTGGGGGGATTCTGAGTGCAGGTTGGACTGAAGAAAAGTAAGGGTAGAATTAATATGGACTAGGGTCTACTTAGAAGAGATAGGCTGAGTGTGAATGTCCTAAAGACTCAAGTTTTCCTTACTTTTTTTCAATTGTATTTTGTCATGCCGGGGTCTATTCTCAGTGCTTTCCTCAAGATTTCTTGATAGTACTTTTACTTTTGCTAACCCAGGCATGAGTTTTCTATTTAATCTTCTTACCTCTATACATGAACTGTCCCTTCACTTCCAGTCTTTCTCTCAGTCCCCAGCCAGACCTGCACTTTTCAGTCCGTTCACATTAATCATCTTCCAACCTTTTGCCTTTATCCTTCATTCTACTCTTTTACTTTTTGCCTTGTAGTTTTCTGTTGGAATCCTAAATTCCATTACCTATCCTTATCAATACTGCATTTGTCTTTAAGTCTCACCTTGAATTTACCTAATTTTGGTAAATGCATATTTTAAGATATTTCTTAACAGGTTCAAAACTGAGAGTTTTGTTGCTTTTAAGTCACTTAAAATTTTTAAATGCATTTGAAGGAGCATATTGAAGAGGTTTTATCTAAACTTAGTTTCCAAAAAGTGCCATTTTGCATATTTTATAGAGCAATAGCCTAAGAAAGAAATAAGTCAATAGTATGAATAGAATATGCTCCCATTGCCCATTGTTGCCAGATCTCTGAATAACATAAACAGAGGAATACTTTTCAAAGAGGAAAGGATAACAGGGACAATATTACAGCAGTCCACTTATTTGAATCCTTTTAGGTTTTATCTCCTATTAGAGTTAAGAAAGGGACACGTGGGTGGCTCAGTTGGTTAAGCATCTGGGTCTTGGTTTTGGCTTAGGTCATGATCTCAGGGTGGTGAGATGTTGGGCTCTGCTCTGGGTGTGGAGCCTGCTTAAGATTCTCTTTCTCCCTCTCCCTCTGCCTTTCCCCAATCCCTTTCTGTTTCTCTAAGAAAAAAAAAAAAAAAGTGGGAAAAAGATATGGAATGAGACCTACTTTTTCCAATGCTTTATCACTTCCAAATCATAGTCAAGAACTGACCTGTAATATATTGTCTGTTTTCACATTCTTTTGATTGGTAAAGTAAAAGTAAGAAAAAAATGATCAGCATGATACTTTGGAGATCTCTGGAATTTAAGAGATACTACCTCCCTACAAAATTTTCATAGTTATTTTAACCAGAAGACATCTTTGTGTAGTGCACAAAACTTGGATCTCACTAATTTAGACATCAAATTCTGCATTCTATCTGCTATGTTGGATTGATAGCAGAGTCAGCTTTCCTCAGCTTGTCATATAATGCTTACCTTTCAGAATTTCTGTGAGGATTAGATAAGATGTATTTCCTTTATGCCCTCTGTGGAATTCGATACGCATCATAAAAAGTAGGCCTCTCTGACCAAAATACCTTTCCTGGCCAGAAAGCTAATGTTTGAACTTGTAGCTGTGTCCCCAATTAAAATGTAGAAGAGGTGGAGGTAGGGGAGGCAAGAGATAGTCACAGACTTTATCTCCTTCAAGGTTTTTCCTGACTTTTTCTATCTTCTATATTTTATACCTGAGGTTCTGCCTGATAGGTGCTTAGACAGTGTCTGTTTTTATATGTATACTCTTAGATACCCACCTCCCACCTTTCCTTTTCATGGCTTTTGTAGATTCCTATTTCTTGTTTCTTTATCTCCTTTCTTTGAAGCTTTGTCAGAACATGTAACTTCACCACCCAAAACTTTCCAGGGGCTTCCCATATCACTCAAATTCTGTCATGTCCCTGCAGGTCTCCTGGTCACCCATAGGTAGCTATTTGATGTCATCTTTTGTAGTGTCTTTCACTTAACTGCAGCCTCTTTGGCCTTCTTGATCTTCATTACACCTACGCTGAGCATTCCCCAGGGCCTTTAAACTTGCTATTACCTGTGTGTGTGTGTGTGTGTGTGTGTGTGTGTTTGTGAGGGGGAGGGTTGGAGGGGAAGGTAAAAGTGTTGGGATAAAGGAGAGGGAAATGCTCCTCCCACAGATATCCATGTGGCTAGCCTAAGTAGCCTTTGCCCAGAATATAACCTTTTCAGAAAGGTTTTTCCCTCAACATTCCCATTCTCTTTCTTATTTCATTTTTCTTCATTAGCATTTCTAACACTTTGTAATTTGCTTATATACTTTTTTATTGCCCATCTCCTCCTCATTCAAGTGTAAACTCCACAAAGGCAGATATTCTGTCTGCTTATAACAGGTATAACCCCAGAAATAGAAAAGTGCCTAACACCCAGTAGGTGCTCAGTATATCTTTATTGAATGTATGAGTGAATCCCTAGCTCACTCCCTAGGAATGGAAAAGAGTTCAACCCAAGGTTTAGATGTATGTAATAAAGGAAGAGCATGGTCTCTAGAGCCAGACAGGCTTGGTTCAAGTCCTGTCTCTATCACTAACTGTCTGGGTAACCTTGGATAAAATGTATAATCTCTGTGCCCTTCCCTTTCCTTATCTGTAAAAGGAAACTAATAATGGCACCTACCCCATTAGGTCTGAAAGAGTTGATCCTACTCCTTCACATTTCTTTGGATTAAGTTAACCTGAATTAGAGAGTAGGTGAATTGCTCCATGTATCAATTATTCTGGCTCACTATATTGTTTGACATTAAACTCCCTGCCATATTAAAGCCTGTACTAAGATTTTATGTATAAAACATTATTTTATTCAGCTAATTTAAATTTACGTATGTATGTGTAGCTTTGAAATGTACCTTTGTGCTAATTTTTTTTCTTCAAGATTTTTACTTATTTATTTGACAGACAGAGATCACAGGCAGGCAAAGAGAGAGGAGGAAGCAAGGTCCCTGCTGAGCAGAGAACCCGATGTGGGGCTCGATCCCAGGACCCTGGGATCATGAACTGAGCCAAAGGCAGAGGCTTTAATCCACTGAGCCACCCAGGCACCCCTGTGCTAAAGTTTATTACAGTTAAATAAACTTAAATAAATATATTTACTATAATTAATAGAGTAAATTACATTGCAGGGGATTGTCTTTAAATATCCAATTCAAGGAATTGCCTTGTAGCCCTTAAAATTACCTTGGTATTGATCTGTTGAACTGAAATGATATCTTAATTACAAATGGTTTTTATTAATTTTGTAAAGCAATTCCTGACTAACCCTTTACTTTAAATCATATTCATCATACCTCAATAAAGCTGGGGGGAGAAGAGAAATCATATAATTTAAAAGCAATATGATGACATTTCTTTAAAAAATGTTCTATGGTTCAATCAGGGCAAAATTAAATAATCTGATTGTTGATTAGGGATACAAACAAAAGTTTTCTGGAAGGGAAGCTTATTTGTTTGTTAGTTGTTCTTCTTGTTGTTGTTCAAGTCTATAATTTCAGCAGATGGAGAGTAGAACTATCTTTCATTTAGCAAATATTACTAAGCTCCCACCAGGCACCACTGTGCTAGATGAGCAATGCTTTATAGCAAGAAAGCACAGTTCCTGGCCTGACAGGTCCCTTACAACTGAAACTTGACTTGTGTCACAATCTTTATGCAGGTCACACAACTGGTCTCTCATTAAATAATGACCGGCTGTACAAACTCACATATTCCACCGAAGTTTTTCTTGATCGGGGCAAAGGAAAACAAGAAGACAGTGTAGGCTACCGAATTTCATCTAATGTGGATGTCATCTTACTCTGGAGGAATCCTGATGGCGATGATGACCAACTTATCCAAATAACAGTAGGTATCCTCTACCAGAGATGCGAAGATTGGAGGTCAGCAAAGTCTTTGTGAAGAGTATCATTCAATGTTTTTGTGCTCTTCATTATATATCCATTTAGTCTGTTATCTATAACTAAAATAAGTAGATCTACAGTTTTGAAGTTTTTGCTAATCAAAAGTGATCTGGTCTCTCCAAGTTGTTGAATCAAGCAAAAGAAGATATATGTTGGTAAGCAACTATAGCATGATGTTCAGTTCTATATTTTGCCTTAATAGGCACACTTAAACTAAAATTCACTTGAGATGTTTTAGGAATGAGAAGTCTGGAATCCATAGTCATGTGAAAAACAAGACCATTCTAGCATAAAGAAGAGATAAATAGGGAGGTCTCAATTTTTCTGAGTTCTTTCATGTAACAGAATTACCAATGAGGAAGTGAACCAATTCTGTGTTCTTCCTGAGGTAAGAACCACTCACTGGCCTGCATCGCAGTATTTGGTCAGTTATGATAATTAGATTTATGTGTTGAGAAAGAGGTCAAATTAGATGGCTTCTGGGGCCTTGAACTTTCAGTTTTAATATATAGTGATTCCATATTTGCTTTTAAGAGCCTAAAGGCGATAGATTTCTCTAGTAAAGTCAGTTATTCTTCTCCATGTTAGTGTGAAACAGGTACACAGGACCAAGATCCATTCCCTTGTAACTGATAAGTAGTTGTTGATAAACTTTATAATGAGGTGTCAGTGTAATACGTGTCCCAAGTGATCTTTGCTTCTTTAGATGTCTCTCATAGTTGTTGTATCTTCCAAGTTGGATCAAAACTTCATCATCCACCTCTCTGAGACATTTCTCAATAGGACAGTAAAGTACTTTGTAGAAAACATATGTACTTCCTTTTTCAGTAACCAGACTGTTCATCTTTAATTTTGCATATGTAAATGAAGTACGATGGGTTAGTATTCCTTTCAAAAAAATGGTAAAGAGACCAGGCTGACAGCAACAGTCAACATGAATAAGGGAGTAACTGACAAAAAAGAGCCACCTTCCATTCATAATTATTGTAAACCTGAATTCACAGATTTCTTTAGGAATCAGAATTTTTACCTAATTCAAAAACCCAATTTTTGGGTACCTTCTCCATTCTTTTAAAGGTAATGGCTAAGTCCTATGAATCGTGAATTGAAAACCAACAGAATACATTATGGACAACCCTGTTTATTGCTTTATCATTTTATTTTCTAAGAGACTGTAATGGAAATGCACACAGCAAATTTTTCTAACAGGTTTCTTTCCATGATTCCAGATGAAAGATGTAAATGTTGAAAATGTGAATGAGCAGAGAGGAGAGAAGAGCATTTTCAAAGGAAAAAACCCACCCAAAATCATAAGAAAAGAAAACCTAGAAGCTTTACAAAGACCTGTGCTCCTTCATCTAGTCCATGGAAAGGTAAAAGTGATTTTGGGGATCCCACATCTTTCCTACTTCAAATTTTTCTTCCTGTCAGTAGTTATTATTTTGAAGTAATCATGATATCATCACTTTCATAGTAAATGGAACTTTTTCAAGAATAAGTAGAGATTGCAAGTTAAATACTTCAGAAGTAAATCAAGGCATTGAATTCACTCATATTTTTTAGCCATTTGTTTCCCATTTTTATGAAAATCTTTATAGTAGAATCAAGTATTTATTGAGAGGCATTCTTAAAAGGTATATTCCTTACTACATTAAGAAGGATTAGAAAAATACTGTAACTCACTAGGTCATCACAGGTGATTATATCATTCAGGAAAGTAGAGAAATTATGAGATTAAAATGATCTAATTTAGATTAATGATGTTAACTCATAAGAATATCAGTATCTGGCTAATGTACAAAACTGAAGCTTTGGAAAGGGCATGGAATTCCTAAGGTTGAGTTGATTTTTTAAAAAAAGTACTTAGAGCTTATTTAAAAACTATGATTTTGAAAAGCATTTTATTTATTAAAGTAATGTATGAACACTATAATATCCATTTGGAAATTTGCTCAGAGAATTCTATAAGTCTACATTACTTATGATTTGATTGTAGTCTATTAAAAATGGTCTAAATATGTTTGGAATTAAGATACAATTGTGATCAGTGAATTATTAGACATTACATATGTGGACTTATGAAAAGCATAGATACTATATTGACAGACCTAAAAACGCATCTGTAAAGATGATCAATTTTAGGTACCAAAGTAGAAAAATAATAAGAGATCATTAGAGTTTAAGTGCCATATGTCTCCAAAATGTCTCTAGATTAAAATTTTCTAGATTCAAAATAAAGGTAAAAACAAATACTTTAAAGTATAAATTTCAGACATGTGATATATTGCTAATAATGATATGCATTTTTATAGGAAGTACTAAAAAAGGACTCTTGTGTTGTAATTTCTACAACTGAATATGAATCCCCATCTTAAGAATGCTTTTTCTTTTCCTTGTCAAAATACTTATCATGCCTCAGGCTTTGCTCACAGGCCCTTTCTTTTATAAAGTTTATATCCTTCTAACCAGTTGGAAATCACCACCCCTCTTTAAAACCTGCTTAGCACCATGTAGCTTACTCATAGCCCTTATCACTGTCCTTAGGTCATTTGTGCTCATTATTAGATTATGGGTTTCAGTAGAGAAAATTCCCATTGCTCTTTATATTCCAGTCCCTCCCTCTCTCCTTTGTGGACTTCCACTCCCTTCCTCCCCAGAGTACCCAGAACCATGCCTTCTACCGACTGACTTGGTGTTCCGGGAGAATTTCCTAGCATTCTCCCAAACGCCATATTCTTCTAGGCTCGCTTATATTTGGTGTTTATCACTGTATGTTGAGATTCTCTCTGTATTTGTCTGCATTCAGTATTCAGAGTAAGCTCATAGGCGCAATTGTGTCTTTAACTGTCTATATTCAGTGCCTTTGCTCATAGTGTCCACTCAATGAATGTTTGTAAACTAAAGGAATGAATGTATAAGGATACCTGGGGTTAAAATGAGTTGAACTTTGAGAGTGGCTTTGGTTATTGTTTGCTTAATAAAAGCTAAATCAGACTGAGCACTTACTGTGCACCAGAGGCCGAAGGCATTTCACGAATTATCTCTTCTGTCCTCATGACAGCTCTGGGAAGCATCTTGTAATTGATTAGGAAACCAAATTTAAGAGTGGTAAAGAAACTTGCCTAGGGTCCTACAACTGGCAAGCAGTGGAGGTGGTATTAAAACAGAAGGTCTAATTTCAGAGGCTAGGTTGGAAACCTCTACATTATACTGTCTTCCAGCGGTAAGGCTTTGGGGAAGTACCACCTCTTTGGAGGACTTGTAATATTCCTATTTGATCCTTCAATGTATCTAGTAACTCACTTGATTTTCATATGGCACAACAACTTGAAATACTGTTTTTTTCTTCTCTGGCCTTCCAATGTGTAAATACACTTGAGCCTGTAAAATATTAGTTGCATTTATAATCTTAATGACAGCCTACCATTTTATAGCCCCTTGGGTAGCAGTGGAGTACAAAGTCTTGTTACACACACAAAAGGACTTGATGCCCTCACTGTTCAAAGGCTGGGCTGGAGCTGCCACATCATTATATCAGTGACTCCAACATGCCAATTCTACATGAGCTGTGATTGTAATGATTTACGATAGCCTCAGGTTAAAGTGCATTGTGCTCTCTATCAATGATATGATTAAAGTACTTGTTGGAAAAAAAAAATATGACCCTGGAGACTAAGATGCCATGTGGAATTTTCAGCCACATCACTGTCAGAAAAATCATTATTTAAATGATCACTTCAATTTACTATGAGGGGAATTATGAAAGGAAAATCTGAACTACTGATTGGCAGTGTTGTTAAAAAATATGTTCTACCCCAGGTTTGAATTAAGTTTTACCCCCCTGAAATTTCTGTGATTTCAAGGATGCTGAGCAGCATGTATTTTTTTGTCTTTCCGGAGCCCCTGTCTTAAGCTCCTACATTTGCATTATAAACGAGAGCCCATGAAAACACTCAGATGCATATTTATTGCACATAATCTTTTTTCCATGCCCACTCATCTTCCCTATATAGGTGTTTGGGCATGGCTCTAGTTTTGTCTACAAATCATAAGTGAAGTTGGAAACATGACAGTTTCCTGGTTAAGTTGATTAACACTGACAAGCGAAAGATGCATGGATTCTTTTTTGGGCCTGAAATGCTAATCCAATTAACTGGATAATTACCAGATTTCCATTTCTGGTTTTCACTGTCACTATTGATTAAATTAACCTCGTGGCTGCTGAGATGGCGCTTTATTTTGTGTTGTTTCTGGGCATTGATTTGTTCCCTGAATCTGGCAGTTTGGCTCCTTCACACACACATAAGAAATAGGACACCTTGAAAACCTTCAATTCTTCATATATATCTTCACTGGTCTATTTACCAACGTGTCATTGCCTAGCTGTGCTCTGTTAGATATGTATAACAAAGATGTATGTAGAGACATCGCTCCAGCTAAGTAGATTAAATAAAATGCTAAGTCTGTTGGCTGGAATTCTTTTTGTTTATTTTTGCTCTTTGGGCCAGTTAATGGAATTTTGCTTTCTCTTATTCTTAAAGAATGTAAAAATTAAGGGGATGTATGGAAACATTTTTTCCCCCAAGGAAAAGAATATGATGAATCCCTACAAATTCCAAGGCAAAATTGGCCCTCAAAATTTGACAAAAAGAGGGGCACCTGGGTTGCTCAGTCATTAAGCATCTACCTTCGGCTCAGGTCATGATCCCAGGGTCCTGGGATCGAGCCCTGCATAGGGCCCCCTGCTCAGCGGGAAGCCTGCTTCTCCCTCTCCCACTCCCCCTGCTTGTGTTCCCTCTCTCGCTGTCTGTCTTATAAAAAAATAAAATATTTAAAAAAAAATTGACAAAAAGAGGCACTACATCTCCTTTTCCCCAACTCACCCGTCTTCCTGTATGTTTGGTTTTCTTGGGTTTAAGACTTAATTTGTAACTAGCTGGTATCACTGTTGCTTTCCAGAAGCTGTGGGTACTGTGAATTTAGATAAGAGTCCTGTGCTCTCAGATGTTCAGAGCTCATTTCAGAACTGAATGAAGAAAATCAGCTTTATGGCCTGAATGTAATAAAGCTTACTTGGTTCCTGTTGCAAAATAATGAATTTAAGATTATTGCTGTGACAGCCAAATGCATTGAACTGCAAAGTTCTGACTTACTATTTTTTTTTGAGATTTTATTTATTTATTTGACAGACCACAAGTAAGCAGAGAGGCAGACAGAGAGAGAGAGAGGGAAGCAGGCTCCCCGCCGAGCAGAGAGCCTGATGCGGGACTCAATCCCAGGACCCTGGGATCATGACCTGAGCCAAAGGCAGAGGCTTTAACCCACTGAGCCACCCAGGCGCCCCCTGACTTACTTTTTTTTTTTTAATTTTTGAGAGCCTACTCAATTCTAACAGTTTGGCGTTTAGCTAGTATGGATACCAGAGCTTTGATTCTCTTTGGCCTGCACTAAAAGAACAGTATTTAAGCCCTAAAGATAGCAGCCATACAAGTGAGGAAAAACAGATTTGTCCACTTTTCTAGTTTTAGGGAAACAATAAATATTAATAGAAGAATGAAAAAAAAAACTCTTTTTGTCTTCCAATTTATCTTGTTCAATCTGTTAGGGGGAAAAAAGTTGTTAATACCATTTTTTTAGAGATCTAGCAGTCAAGATCAAAGCTTGATCCGTAGGCATGGGCCATTGATAAAAGAGCATTTAATCTTTTCTGTAGTCCAAAGATTAAATCAGAGAACTAGGTTGCCTGAAATTTTAAGTAAAACTTCATATAAATACTTCAGGCACATTTTATAGCCTGGAAGGAAAGTGAGGATACTGATGACCATACAAGTGTTTTCACCATTTAATGGCTCCTCTTTTCTTTCTGAAGTACTTAAGACTCAAGCCACAAAAATGACATGTCGTAGGCTATGTGTATTGCCACTATGTGAGTCCTTCTGGCTGTGTCTGGGTTTAAGCGATCCACTTATGAACCTTTAATAATCATGCTATCTGGAGATATACTTCCAGAAATTTGAAAAGGAAGTTACACTGTAATTCTGAAAAGGAAGGAAGACCCAGTTTACAAAATAGAACATCAGAAACTCAGCTTTGGAACTGAGAAATTGCCAGTGATTTGTTTGAGAATATGATACCATGGATTTTCAGATGCTGAGGTCACCATTCCAGTTCCTTTTTAACCTGAACAAACACAATTCCAACATTTATAAGTTCGTTCAGTATAATGACTAAAATTGATTGCTGGATAAAGTACCTAGTAAATTTGTCACTAGGCAGAGTATATGTAGAAAATAAAAATAGAGATTTGAGGCATTTGTTTGGCTAAGTCAGGTCGAATATTCTCTTCTAAGGTGTGAGAGAGTTTTCATATAGTTGAATTGTTCAATTGGTATTAATTGAATTCATTATGTAATTACTGAGCTTTCTGTTTTACTTGAGAAATCATGGTTGGTTTTCAAGAGAATAGGAAGGCATTCAGGATATTTCCAGTAGGAATGCTCAGCTATAATTACCATAGACCTTGAGGATTTTTACAAGGAAGCCATATCCATGCTCTACTTCTAAATTGTGTGAGGTGTTTGGAGTTAATACAGGGTGAAGAGTGACAGACCTTCCAGAATATTCTCTGTATTTTTATTCTTGTTCCTTAAACATAACCTAAATTACCAAAATGGTATGAGACATTGTTATCACCCCTGGGCCTATAAATGTCAAGGATAAAACAAAGCTAAGTCATTGACTATTACAGACAAATCACAGTTATCCTCCTCATTTCAACCTCATCTCCTGCCTTCTGAAGGGACTCAAAGCAGTGCCTGTGTCAGGGCATGCAATGGTAGCAATCTCAACCTCAAATCCTCCCACCATCTCTATCTCCTTATATCCAGGGTCTACATGAATGCTCTGGAGGGCCAGAGAAAATCACTCCTGTGGAATTTTGTCCATGGACCTTATGGCCGTGTGTAGGCCCTTGTCATAGCCCTTAGAGGTTGTGCTAGCTTATGAGTATCAAGTATGTTAATTGATATTATCTTCCCAGAACTGATTTCTTTGTTTTAAACATTGGTTCATTTTTGTTTCAAGCAGTGTTGCAGGTAGGGAACATATTGATATGTCCAAAGAAAATATTCCTGATTTCTCTTCCTTGGGCATCCTTCTTGCTTTCACAGAAATCTCAGTCTAAATCAGTGCACTTTTTCCTTCCCTAGGCTATGCCCATCATGTTCAGAGCCTTAATTATCTGCCTCCCAAAGTTTTATATTTTCATGGTCTAGCTTTGTAGAAACTTAAATAACATCTTTTTACAAAAAAAGAAATCCCCAGCTTTGGAGTAACAGATCTCTGTCTTCCAGATTGATAAGGGTGAAAATCTGATCTTTCCCACTAATTATTTAACCAAATTGATAAATGATGCATTTTTGCTTCATATATGGTTGTCTCCCCCCCACCCCAGGTCAAAGAATTCTACTCATATCCAAATGAACCGGTGGCTATAGAAAATCTCAAGAGAGGACTGGCTAGCCTATTTCAGATGCAGTTAAGCTCTGGAACCACCAACGAGGTACTTACTAATATTAAGGATCCTGTATATTATTTGTCAATAGTTACAGAAGGTGCCTATATGGATTTCTATTTTAAGAAATTCAATAAAAATTTACTACTGTGGTAATGCTCAGAAAGGGTGACTAGGGTGGTTAAGTCTCATTTACATGTGAAACAGATTGCCATTTATCCCAATTTGTACCCAAATACAGGGTGAAGGAAATTCGAATCTATTATACCAAGGAGACTTACAGAATGACTAAATGGCAGAGGTGCAGAAAACATTGGGGAGCATTTCAGTGGCATCACTGTACATCACTATCCCATGGGGACCTTATTTAAGATATGGATTCCCTGCAGAGATTCTGATTCAATAGATCAGGGAGGACCTGAGCATCTGTATTATAACAGTTTTCTCAGAGAGTTTGGATGCATTGTCAGTTTGGGGAACGAGGGTCTATACCAACCCCCTTCATTTTACGGATGAAGAAACTGGGGTTAAACTAGAGAAGTTAAGTGTCTCTCCCAGTATCACACTTTGGGTCAAAGGCGGGGCTGAGTCTGAGTTACCTGTTCTGAATTCAGCCAACCCAGGAATGGGTGAAAAAAATCTAATTGGCAGGGCTGGGCCAAGGGAATATTGGGTAGTTTACTAGAATAAAAGTCACGTGTGGTGCCAGTTGAGACCCAAGGGAAGGGACAGAGAAGCTAAACAGTCTGTACAGACATACATTTGCCTACACTCAAATTGTTAACGTGACTTATAATGAGTTGAATTAATCCTACAAGTTTTTAAGGATTTCTAATTATATTCAGCTAGTCAAAAAGCCAGTGCACACCCATACTCACATCTAGATACAGCATTAAAAGTCAGATCCCTTTCCCACGTAATTATCCACTTACCAGAGGTTTTGATTATGACCAGGTCATTTGTCTAATTCTTCCTAGATGTTAAAGAGAAGTAGGAAATCCTTTATTATTACTGGGGCTCGTAAGATGCAACAAAAGAGGATGAAAAAGAATCCACACACTTCAGGAAACACTGAATTCTTCCTGTCCTTTGGCCTTGTCAGCCTGGACAAAAAAGCAGCCCCCCATCACAATATCAGGAACCCCAGTTTTTGGGCCGCTTCCCACTGGAATTTAAGTGGTCCATGTGAAAATCCTTAAAGATGTATTTTTACTTTTCTTTTTAGGTAGATATCTCTGGGGATTGTAAGGTGACATACCAGGCTCATCAGGACAAAGTGACTAAAATTAAGGCCTTGGATTCATGCAAAATAGAGAGATCTGGATTTACAACCTCAAATCAGGTATGACCGATATGACACTCTTTAAGGCATCCAAATAATTACATTTTATAGAGATTAATTTAAAATAATAGAAGAATAAGGTAACAAATAATTGGGGAACATTTATAATTTTTAGTTTAGGGTATTGTTTCACACATACCAAATGAAAAGGTTTATTTTCATATGTTACAAGTTTGGGTGGTGAAGGAAAGGTATTAAGAGGAAGCTCTTGAAAATTAGAAGAAAGTTTGCTATTTGACTTGATTCAGAGATAAAAAGCTGATTGTTGCAACTACAAATATTTATTTACTTACATATTTATTTATTTAGGTCTTGGGTGTCACTTCAAAAGCCACATCTGTTACTGCCTATAAGATAGAAGACAGCTTTGTTATAGCTGTGTTTGCAGAAGAGACACATGCTTTTCGGATGAATTTTCTACAGACCATCGCAGGCAATATAGTATCAAAGTAAGATAATGAGGAAATTTAAATTCTCTTTCTTATTCTTTGATATATTACTATATTTGGCTTTTAAATATACATGTTAGAAATGTTGAATGTATGTATGTTTTATATATGTATTTATTATATAGAGTTTTCTCATTTTGACTGTTAGCTTCTTGAGAACTATGATTATATCTTATTCACCATTAGTTTTCATGTCATCTACAATAATATAGGGCATACATTAAATACTGTTTTTTAATAGAATTTCATTTAAAATTGTATCAATAATTTATTGAATCGAAATACATTTTAAAAAGGCAAACTACTTGATTCGTTCTAGTTTATATTCTAATTTCTCTGTCAGATCTTTCCAATGGTAAGGTTAAAAAGTGGTGGCATTTGCATGTTCTCTCTTTGAGCTTTTTGTTGTTGTTGTTAAGAAACACATAAAAATTCCATCGTAAAGTGATATGACAGGATTTTTGTATTTTTGATTTATAATACTGTATTCAAGCCCATTATTTCAGTGTGAGAAAATTTCTCTGGTCAGAAGTTCTCAGGGGCTTAAGGACTAGAATTTTCAAATCTAAGAGTATATGTTATTTTCAGATTTTAATTTAGAAGATTTCCTAACATTAAATATATTCTATCTTATGCCATCACTTATCAAATGCTTTCTCTCAAGTAGCTCTAATATCAGAGTGCAGTGGATACAAAGTCTTGGGAAAAGTGCTTCACACCATAAAGGCTTGAAAACTCTTTTGAAGTCTCATCTGGATAGAATTTTGCATTTTGCTTTACACCATATTCTTTCCATGTATTTTCATATAAAATAGATATTTTAAATTATTTATCAGGTCTATCATGTTTCCATTGCCCTACAACAAACCACTCCCAATTTAGTGGTGCAAAAAGAAACCATCATTTTATTATTCTCTCTCTCGGAATTCTGGGTCTTGCCTTGGCTCAGCGAGGCATGCCTTGTTTGGCCTCTATTCTGCAGTGGCAGTCACTGACCAGAGCTGGTTCAAAGGTTGCTCCCTCACCTATTTGCTATCTGGACTGGGAAGACTGAAACTACTATGGTTTCCCCAAGCATTTCTCTTTATCAACACGTGGCCTCTCAAAATGGCAGCTTCAGGGAGTCACACTTTGTACATGGCAGCTCAAATCTCCAGAGGGACATGTGCTGCTGGCATTCCAGATGAAGGCTGAATTTCCTTTTTAAGATTTAGCCTTAGAAGTCATATAGTTTCCTTCCACTGTCCCTCTCTTAGTTGGGGGAAATCACAGAGTCCTGCCCAGGATCAAGGATAGGCATGCAGAGGCTACATCTTTTTTTTTTAAGATTTTATTTATTTGACAGACAGAGATCTCAAGTAGGCAGAGAGGCAGGCATCGAGAGAGGAAGAAGCAGACTCCCTGCTGAGCAGAGAGCCGGACGTGGGGCTTGATCCCAGGACCCTGAGATCATGACCTGAGCTGAAGGCGAGGCTTTAACCCACTGAGCCACCCCGGAGCCCCCAGAGTCTACATCTTGATGGGAGAAAGCATTTCAGGCAAAAAATATCATGGAAATCATTTTCAGTAAATACGATTTCCTAATTATCTTAGTTAATAAATGGTTGTATGGATGATATTTTCAGAAAGCAGGGCTAAATTTAGAAGAAGTGACAGCAAGTATCTTCTTCAGCATCTGAGCAAGTTTTCTTCCCTGTGTTCTCTTAAATCCAGACCCAGATTTTGAAGCCCTTAAGTAAAATTGTTGTTCCAGGAAGATTTCATAATTATCTTGAGGTTTCTGCAGTTTGAAAGACACGGACTCACATAGTGTGAAGAAATTTGTATCTGGTTTGCCAAAAGAATGGCAATCGGTAGCTTGTTCACTCAAAAGAAAGCTGCTAATGTGATATTTCTCTTCCTTGGTTGTGCAGGCAGAAATTAGAGCTGAAGACCACTGAGGCAGGCCCAAGACTGATACCCGGAAAGCAGGTGGCAGCCATAATTAAAGCTGTTGATTCAGAGTACAGGGCCCTTCCCATCGTGGGACAGAACTTACAGAGCGAGTGTAAAGGATGCCCTTCTGTAAGTGTGAACAACTTTGTGGGGTGGTCAGATAGGGGAATAATCATGGCTTAAAATTCAATTTTCCTTTTGTCTCCAATGGAAGCTTCAGTTAATTCTTTGAAGAAAGCTTATGAAGAGCTACCAGCCACCACTGAATTCTAATGGCACTAGCACTTAACAGTATGCACCCGAGATGATGTGTAATTCAACAGTAATTAACTAATAATTATCGTCCACTCATTTCAAATAAAAAATGTTATGACTTAAGGGCAGCTTCTGAATAATAATACTTAGAATGCAGTTGCGGGGCAAAGGGCCTAATGAAATTCGGGGAAAGCATGTAGTGTGAAGAGCATGGACAAGAATCTGAATCCTGAAAGTTCTACCACTGAGTAGCAGTAAGTCCTCAGGTGAAATATTTTACTGAGGTCAGTGTTCTGAGTATTGATATGAGGACTAAAAAAGGATACTGAGCTCTCTGCTAAATTAGGAAAATTTTCTTTACCACGCCCCAACTCCCTTACCATTATAGACAGAAATGAGATAGCACATCTCCAAGGCAAAGCATAGGTCATTATAACATTTTAAGTCCAACAAAGAGAAATTTCATTTATTGCATAATTCAGTTGTGATGGTGGCCATATATAGGACGTTAGGGTCCAGCATTTCCTAATACTTAGCCTCTTGTCAGGAGAACAAACCCTTGGCTTCATGCTCTGTTGGTAGCTACCGGAAAATGCCATTCCCTTGGATATTATTGGCAGAGAAGTAGAATTATCAAGAACTAATATCATAATTTGCTTAAAGTATAAGACACTAAGTCATTGCTAATTTCTCAAATTTATCAAAATTGAACTAAGGAAAAAACAAAAAGTAAGAATCATCATTCTTAAATCTCATTTTCTGTTTGTTTTTCTTCCATATATAAGTTAATGTTCCAGAGTAAATTTTATAATGTGTCATATGAAGGTGGAAATTATTTAGGAAAGTGACTGATGAAGCCAATAATCTTTTTTAATGCTGTGAACTATTCATTTCTCTCCCCATGGTTATTAAAAATTATAAGTCATTTTTAGATTTGATAATTACTTCTTCATTATTGTAGGAAGGGTTTTTGTCTTTGAGGAATTGCTTTTGCAATTTCAGCACATTGTCACCATTGCAACCCTTTTAAGAAAAAAAATCTGAATTCACACTAGTATGCTCTCTGCCCTCAGAAATGACCCAGTTGGTCTTTAGCTAAGAATAGTTGGAATTTTGCTTTGGAATACCCTCTTAAGATTAGATAATCAAAAAGGATTTGAAAAGGAGAAAATATGTGTCTATTGCTTATTAGGAGTGAATAATTTAAATATTAGTAGAATGCTGACTACCCCAGAATTAGAGAGCTGGAGGTCACTAACAGAATTAAACACATTTTTTACAATGAGGGGAAAAATGGCAAACTATGAAAAATCAATTATTTAGCATATTTCAAAGCCAGAATATCAGTAATTAGAATTATTTACTATTGTTAAAATCATAATAGAATAACAATAGTATGAGAATTACTTTCATTTAAATACTACTCTACTTAACATGCAAATAATGAACCGTTCAGACCTTAGCATAGTTAAACATTGCATTTCATAGAAACAATAAAATAAAGAGATAGAATAGGGAGCTCAAGTTATTACTAAGATTAATTTTTAGTGAGGTCTCAGTACATAAGAAACCTGACACAGTTATTCAGCAGTTTTATGTTTTCCCCCCTTCCAACATCTCCTGCCCTTAAAGAAAATTCTGCACAATTGCAGGATGGTCGTCAAAGCCTGGCCTTGGGTCTAATTCCCTTGGTGTAATGAATGACCTTATAGTCTTGGAAGCCTCTGTTCTTTGGAGCTAAGTACTAACAGACAAAAATGGTCCTCTTGCAGAGGAATCGTTCAGGGGTTCAGGAGGCCTCTAGATTTGTCTCTGAGAGTCACAGGAATGTGAGAGGGGCAGGTGCCAATCAGGGATATGGAGATAAGACACAAAAAGCTTCTTTTGCTTGTTAGTTACAAGGCAAGCTTTCTTTCTGGGGAGAGCATCCCTTGACAATGCGGATGTTCAGAATCCCGAACGGGGTATGAGCCTGCAGCCTGGTTTCTTTGCAGCTGGCAGAGCACTGGCAGTCGACCAGAAAACACCTGCAGCCTGACAACCTCTCCAAGGCTGAGGCTGTCAGAAGCTTCCTGGCCTTTATTCAGCATCTCCGGACGGCAAGAAGAGAAGAGATCCTCCAGATCCTCAAGGCTGAAAGCAAGGAAGTGTTGTAAGTTCCCGAATCTGGTGCGGGGTTGTCTGTAGAAAAGCATTTCTGGGTTATTGGGTTCTTCTTAAGCAAGAAAGACCCCTTTTAACCAACTGCCCAACTTCCAAATCAATTATTGTGTTGTTTTTGCATTTTCACCAAAGAGTTATTATGCCACGATACAATAATTTAACAATCACTTGGCCAGAAATATATGAGAACAAAGTTTTGGCAGTGAGTCAGAATGAACATTTTTTGAGTGTTTATGAGTTTAAATCAGGTCTAAATTGGTACATAGATAACGGAGGGCAGGGCTTCATCTTGACCCCAGTATGCATGTGCTGCCTCCCTGTGTGTGGACCTATTAATTTACATTTGAAAAGATTCTGGAGTTGATTATAAAAACAGTATGACTTTTCAATTGAAAAATGTGATTTTATTAAAGATCATACCCATCAAAGCCATTTTTTTACATAGAAAAATTGAGAATTAGGGCAATAGTCAAAAGGATCTAGAAAAAAGAAATCTGTGCATTATTTGAATGTTTGCTGCAAGTGTGATTCATTGACATGCATAATAAAGAGAGTTGACTTAATTCTCAGATTTACTTTGTAAATGCAAGTGTTTTTTTTCTGTAACATAGAATTTGTACATACAAATTTAGCTGTATGGTACTAATTACCCTAATGATACAGAAAATGGCTCAATTAATCTGACAGTCAAAAATAGCCATTAACATAATAAAAAATGGAAATTGGCCAACTTACACACACACACACACACACACATACACACAGTACCAGTAGCTGTTGTCACTGAGTTCAAAGAACTCAGTTCTCCAAGAAGAGAATTGAGATTTTTTTCAAGAAGTTGTTCATTCTTGATTCTATTTGTTATTTACTTGCCTCAAGGACATTTTTAAAATTGATAGGAATTCCATATGACTAACTGGAGTTGGTTGCTCTCTTCAAAAAATAAATATTTAAACCAGAAGTTGAAAAATACACAAAATCAGAGATTCTCAGACTCCTGTTTTAATCATAGAACTTTAAAATATATTTGTGGGGTGATTTATCTTTATAGGAAAGGCAAAGATACTGACAAGAAAAGTTTAAAAAATTGTTATTAGTTTAGAATGGAGATTGAATTAAACTTTAACCTTATTTGTACCCTAAAAACCTTAAGATAGCAATTATTTGGATAATTTCATGATGTAGCTTCTAAATCAGATTACAGGTTTCTTCTGCTACCCAAAAGTGAAGACTTCCTATTAAACCTTTGTAACCCAAAATGGTGTTAAGCAAAGAATTACCATTAATTTAGATGGAAATTTTTTGAGCATTTTCAGACTGAAAAAAACAATCTCTCTTAGGTTTTTCTGATACCTTAGAACACATCTTGCAAATGGATACACAGAATAAAAGGAGATATAGCCCAGATGCTCATAGGCACAGTTCTAAGCTATGGTGGCCTGATGCTGAGATACTCAGTGTAGGTCCCAGGGAAGGGGATTGGTTCGTGACCATACTTGCTGTTCAGGGGGCACACTGCCTCTATAATGGGCTTGCTACAAAACATGTTGAAGGCTATTTTATTTTTAACCTTTTTTTTTTTTAAATCAAAAATCCTCTTCAGATTTATTTTGGTTACCAAAAACAGGTACTAACGTAGGTCTTTTGCAAAAGCAAAGTAGCCTAACACAAACTTTGGAAAAGCAGGGGATACTCGTATTTATGTAATATTGTACTATATAATATGAACCCACAGGTAACGTAGTGTAATAGAAAGGATACTAGGATGAACTAAAATCAAAAGACCTAGTTTAGTTTAGTTTTTTTTTTTTTTTTAATGTTTATTTATTTGAAAGAGAGAGAGAGAGTGGGCAGGGGGAGGAGCAGAAGGAGAGAGTCTCAATCAGACTCCGCACTGGGCAGGGAGCCCCACAGGGGTGCATTCCCAGGACCCTGAGATCATGACCTGAGCAGAAATCAAGAGTCAATACTTAACTGACTGAGCCACCCAGTCAAGTTTTTAATTTTGGGAGACCTGGTTTTTAATTTTGACCTCCAACAGCATACAATCTTTGAGCAAATTGTTTACTTTTAGCCTCTCCAATCCTCACTGCTAATGTCTGTATAATATGGAGAATGATTCCTTCTATTTATTATAGCATAATGGAAGACAGGGTGGTGGAATATAACATTTCTCAAAGTGTCCATTGTGTGTACCTTGTTAATTTGCAGAATATTACCAAGTATGCCAAGAGGAAATAATTCTGTGAGCAACTGAGTTGGACAAATGCTGGGTGAAACCAAATTAAATTATTCTCTTGGGTGCAGAAATTTTCAACATCTTCAATTGTAAATTATTACATATAAGTTTACTTAAACATTTTCTAAACTTAAATAATCTTGAAGATCCCTTTCCTTACTGAATTTCATAGGAATAGAATCACATGGAAAAAAAAAAAAAAAACACTTTAGGAAACACTAATGTATTTAACAGATCATGGATTCCAGAGTCAGAAAAACCTGAGTTCCAACCCCAACTATACACTTAACAGCTAGGGGCTATTAACATCTCTGAGTCTGTTTACTCATATGTAAGGGGAAATATTAGCACTAAACTGACAGAGATGTCTCATGGGTTAAATGGAATAATTGTATTATTAACAGCATATATTTATCAAGTGTTTTAAGTGCTCTACATAGATTATGTAATCTAATCCTCCCAACAGTTCTAAGGTGACCACTATTTTTAGCCCTGTTTTACAGACAAAGAAATGAAAGCAAAAGAGAAGTTGCACACCTAAAATTTCTGGTGCAGTACTTGTGTAATAGGCACCTAATAAGTATTCTCTCTCAGTCTCTCCTTCATTCACTACTAGGTTTTTGATAGGAACAAAATGATAAAGTGCAAGTGTTTCTTTCTTTTTTTTTTTTTTTAAAGTATAAAGCACTAAACACATGTATGGTGTGTTTATACAATGTGGAACAAACTTACATTCGTAATATATTCATCAGTATGACAAATAGTTTCAGAAATTTTAGCGTCCAGACTCAACCAGATTCCTGACAACCGGTGTATGTAATTAGAACTTGCCTATAGGAGTTCTACTCTGTCCACACATAGCCATTATGGCTGAACATTGAACATGAACATGGTAACTATACCATGGTATTTTTTATTTTTAGAAAAAATGAACAACATCTTTCCCTCAGATATAAATTAAAATTAAAAGGATTTCCCATCTTTTCTTTAAATAATACTGCCTGAGTTAAACTAGGCATTTGAGAAATGTGTACATTTGCAAAGCTAATTAGACAAAAGAGAATCAATGTTTGAGATCAATAACTCTGATGTATTACTCATAGAGAAAAGGATTTGAACCTAATTTATAATTTTGTATGTATAATTTTGACATATAAATTTCCAAATTATGTTTGGTTTAGGCTATTACAGTAAAATTAGTTTCTATATTCTGAGTTTACATTGAATTAGAGAGTTGTTAAAGGAAAGGTTTTAAATAAAATGGGAGATATTTTTGAGGAAGTTATTCATTTTTTATTTTTTTAAAAGATTTTATTTATTTATTTGACACAGAGAGAGAGGTCACAAGTAGGCAGAACAGGAGGCAGAGAGAGAGGGGGAAGCAGGCTCTCCGCTGAGCAGAGAGCCTGATGGGGCTCAATCCCAGGACCCTGGGATCATGACTTAAGCTGAAGGCAGAGACTTAACCCACTGAGCCACCCACGGACCCCATCATTTTTTGTTTATATTAAAAAATTTCACTTCTTTAGGAAACTCAAATCAATGGAGAGTCTGTGACTGGTAGAGATTTAAATAATTCCTTAAGCACACTAAATATTGATATCCATGACTCTCCTTTTTTTGTAGGCCTCAACTGGTGGACGCTGTCACCTCTGCTCAGACTTCAGACTCATTAGATGCTATTTTGGACTTTTTGGATTTCAAAAGTGACAGTAGTGTTATCCTCCAGGAGAGGTTTCTCTATGCCTGTGGATTTGCCTCCCATCCCGATGAAGAACTCCTGAGAGCCCTCATTGTAAGTCAAGTGAACACTGGGAAAATAAAGGCTCTCAGCTACTAAAAATTTCATTAAGAATCTAGGCAATGATTGGATTATTTTCTATCCATTAATCCATTAACTGTAGTAAGCTGTTTCACATAGTGTCTTCTTTGCAATTCCTTTAAAATAACATAAACTGTATTAAAGGAAATTAAAAGATTATATTCACTTATATAATATGACATAGAACAAAATTTCAGAGGATATGATTCTTGGTTATGCTTCAGAAATTGATTTTAAAAGATCTGTTTTGACTTCAAAATCCTTCTTGGCATTTAATACACAATATGTTGAAGAGATACAATTCTTCCAATACAAAAAATTGTATGGGAAACAAAAGCTAGACTTCTCTTGGGTCCAAGATTTAAAAACAAAATGTGCACTTATCCACTTACAATCTAGTGGAATAATTCATAATCTTTTTGGAAAATGGGACCCATTTGAGGACCTGATAAAAGCCATGAAGCTCCTCTTCACCCATATGCAAAATTTTAAAGACTATTTTTTTGGTTCACTGACGCAGTGAACACAGTCCATAAACCCCTCGGGAGTTCATAGACTCATGTTAAGAAGACCTGGAGAGAAGAGATTCTATTAACTCTTCAATTCAAAGTTAGAAAGTGAGTTTGTATGTGTTGCCAAATCAAAATTTTGAATTTGCTATCAAGGAACATAAAACATTTTCCTTAGACAGTGGTTACTTTGCTTCTTGAAAAAAATGTTTCTAAAAATGTCCCATGGAAATGCTTAAATGTTTTGATAACCTATTTTACCTCTGTTTACCAATTACTCTGGCTAATAGAGTAAGTTCAAAGGTTCCTTTGGGAGCAATGACATTAGAGAAACTGTTATGATCATCGCTGGGGCCCTCGTCAGGAAGCTGTGTCAGAATGAAGGCTGCAAACTCAAAGTAAGTGCAAATCCAGTCTCATGTGTTGTGCAGTTCCATATCTTTCTATGTCGTACTCACTGGGCTGCCTATCACCGGCACTCCTAATCTCCCTTACCCTACTCCACTTTCTCTATTTCACAGCAGTTATTGTCATCTAGCATACTTTACAGTTCATTTATTCATGACATTTATTGCTTTTTTTCTGTCTCTCACTGAAATGTAAGCTCCATGCAAAAATGGATCTTTGTCTTATTAATACCACTTGCTTAAAATAATAGCTGATGCATAGATAATGTTCAACAAATACTTCCTAAAGAGTGAATAGTCCATTACTCCCTCACCAATATATGTTTATTGAGTGCCCACTACATATGTGGCTTTCAGTGGCATGGATGGTATAGTCCTTTTCTTCAGAAACATATTAGACTCTAGGGCTATCTCCTAGAGGAGTTTTCTTTTCTTTTCTTTTTTTAAAAAGATTTTATTTATTTGACAGAGAGAAAGAGAGAGAGAGAGATCACAAGTAGGCAAAGAGGCAGGTAGAGAGAGAGCAGGGAGCAGGCTCCCTGCCGAGTAGAGAGCCTGATGCGGGGCTCCATCCCAGGACCCTGAGATCATGACCTGAGCCGAAGGCAGAGGCTTAACCCACTGAGCCACCCAGGTCCCTGAGGAGAACTTTTCTTTTTAAAGGTTTATTTATTTATTTTAGAGAGGGAAGGAGAGCACGAGCAGAAATGGCAAAGGGAAAGGGGGAGAGAATCCCAAGCAGACTCCATACTGAGCATGGACCCCTATGCAGGGCTCGATCTCACAATCCTGAGATCATGACCTGAGCAGAAACAAAGAGTCAGATCCTTAACTGACTGACTGCGGTGCCCTGAGGAGAGCTTTATAATAAGTGTGGTGTGCAGTTTTGAGTTTTGATGGAGGGAATTTAGTTACTTCTAATTATCCAGAATTTTACATTTTGTTTTTAATTTCATTTACTCAAAGCTTCTCCATTGGTCTGAGTGGATTATTAATTTTAACATCTTTCTCATAGAAAACCAAAACCTTACTTTGTAAGCATAACTAGATATAGAAAATCCAAATGGATTAATATCCAAAGCAGCCTATCTTTCTATAATGCAAATAGATTAAAGATGCTGAATATATAAAAAATCTTTTTTTGGTCCACATTTATTATACAGTCAGCTTCTAGTCAGCATTTTTCTTCTCTCTCAAAAATGACACCACTATATTATTTTCCTTGCTGAGTGTTTGCTCTTAAAAATAATAGGGAGAACATTCTTGAAATAGTGCCAAAAGAGGCAACCTAAACTAGAATATAAATTAAGTATGAGAAAGATTACTAAAAAAAGAAATGGCATTGACAATGTTTGAACATCAACCTGTTGAGTTCTGGCAGAGACCAAATTTGTATTACTTCTATGACATCAAAGAACTATGACCTCTTAGATATTTTTTCAATTTCTATAATTATTTGAATAGCTGATTTACTTCAGTAATCATATATCAAATATCTTGCCTAAAGACAGAATTCATATATGAAACATCCATTCAGCAGAATTTAATAAGCATCTACTCTGTGCTTATTATTAGTCACTTAATATAAAGATACATAGAATATTCTACCATCCTCAGAGAACTCCCAGTCCTTTTATCAAATAGAAACAAAAAAATAATATTGAAATATAAACAATGTACTCTGAGAATACAGAATATATAGCAAACTCTTCTTTTTGGGGCTGCTGGGGAAGGTTTTGCCAAAATAGTAGTATTTGAGCTTTGTCTAGAAGAGCTTTTTAGGTAAAGGCATGATAGTATGGAACGAAGGACATTCTAGGAGAAATATAACAATGCATGAAAAGGCCCGAAGTCAAAATGAGTCGGGTATGCCTGAGAACAGTGAGAAATGCTGTGGAGCTGGAGCACAAAGTATTCATATTAGTGGGGCAGATAGGTGAGAGCAGAGCTACAGGAAAGAAGGGAAGAGAGAAAATAAGTTGGATCTTTATTAATGAGAGGCTAACGAGTCCAGCCATCACTCCGCAGAGAGAGGGGAGAATGGTGTGTTTTTAGACAGGTGAATGAGATGCTCAGATTTTTTTTTTTCTTATTTAGAAAGATTCAGAGTGCAGGGACCAGCTGTTGACTGGATTAGAGCCAGCGAGATCTGATTAGAAATATTTGCAACAACAAGACAAGAAGTAGTAAAGTTCACACAGTGGCAGTAAGGTGAGAGAAGGAGACAGACTCAAGAGTCATTTAGGAGGTAATTTAATAGTACTCAGTGACTGATGGGATGTGGGGAGTGTGAGAGAGGTAAGATGCTGGGTGACTAGTAAAGTTCCAGGGTAGGGTACTAGGTGTGGTACTAGTACGGTTTATAGAACATAGTTTGGGACTGGGAGGTGGGTAGAGCTATGAATTTGTTTTCATCATGTTAATTTTTAAATCTTCTGGGTCACCAAGTTGAATTGTCCAAAAGACGGATGGCCGTAGCCACCTGCAGCCCAGAAGAGGAGTTAGGGTCAGGAACAGAGTGGCTGCAACCTTGGAAGAGAGTAGAATGTAGAATAAGAAGGAAACTGAACAAAGGATTAAATGTAAAGTTTGGCTGAAAACAGGATAGCCAAGTTCTCATCACATCTTTAAAGTTATCTTGTAGGGAGCTTAAGACTATCCCCTTTCACTGTCATTCAATTTTGTTAATATCTTGGGGCAACTTTTTAAAAAATGCATCTTTGAAGATAATTAACCACCAGATGGAATTGTTGTAAATGTTCACGTTTGTGTTTCAGTGTTCTGCTGTGGAATATTCATCTACCTATAGCTTAGTTTGAAGACATATGAATAGAAAGAAAATGATGTATTCTCAGCAAAAATTTAAGGTATTTACTGGGCATACAATGCTCTGACTGCCCAAAAGGTACCTGCCATCCTATCGAGTGCTAAAGTTTTTGAGCATTTACTAGCATGAAATTTCTTGCCTACCTCATGGCAGTCGGAGTGACAGCTAGACAAGTTTACTCACTGAGTACAAAGTCCCCTATTTCTTTTTCTTATTAGTTTTTGTTATGTCTTGACCTCCTTGCATCGTAATTTCATTTTTCCTTAAATGTGTATTTGAAAAGATTCAAACCTACAGAAAAGGATAGAATAAGAAGAATAGCATAATCCCATGAACATCTGTGTTTCCTTCACATAGATTTGCCAGTTTTTAACATCTTACATATTTCCATTATCTCATTGTTTTATCTCAATTTATTTCTGTTTTGATTCAGCTATGTGAGAGTGGGTTGCAGACATCTGGCATTTGACCCCTACATGCTTTTAGTTCTTACTACGTGAATACTGTTGCATGTAGGCCCTTATGATGGACAAAGTACATATATATATACTTATTAGTTGGTGAGTTCATACTGCTATCTTTAATTCCAGTCCAATGCAACAAGCTTCTTTCTCTCCTTCCATTCCATACGCTTATCTTCCTTCTCCTACAGAGAGAACTTTGGTGTTCAAGAACATCAATATATTAAAATTCATTTGCTCAAACCTAAAACACACACAAAATAGTTTTGGAATTGCTACACCAGTATTGCTACAAAAGTCAAACTAAATAAAGTTTAAGACTTCATCACACTCTTTTGTTTTTAGGATGTAGCCCACTAAATGTGTACCATCAGAGTTCTATATTCTAAGTCTCTTGCATCAAGTCTTTGTTATTCTCTTCTGTTTAATTAATTAATTATATTTGATATATACTTTGTTTGTTTCTCTTTGAATTCAATTTTGGCAATCTTCCATCCCTGTTGACTTAATTTTATTTCTTGTATATGTGAAATATTAACATGGTTCAAAAGTCAAAACTGCGTTTTAAAAACATTCTCAAAGGGGTCCCGTTCTCTTTCCTAGCCCTTTCACCCTTTCTCGCCTGCCTCCTCCATGTACCTGTTGTCATTAGTTTTTGGTTTCTCCTTCTTGTGTTTCTTTTTGCAACAGTAAGCAGATGTACACACACATTTTCCTTTTTTTTCTTTCACAAAATACAGCATTCTATATATACTCTTTTGTAGCTTATTCTTTCCACTTAACAGTATACCCTGGAAATTATGCCATACCGGTCCTCAGAGATCTTTCTCATTCTTTTTCATAATTGCCTAGTATTCCACTATGTCTATGGACCAGTGTATTCAGAATCTCCTGCATATGGTCCTGAGATGGTTTCTACTATTTTGTGATTAAAAATCATGCTGAGATGAATGATCTTGCATGAAAATGCATGTAGGCATTTTTTCTTATTGTTGGGAGATTTTTTTCTTATTGTTGGCTAGGGTTGCTGGAACAAAATGCAGATATGTTAGCTTTTGCCAATTATCTTCCTTTGGAATTGTACCATTTTATGCTTTTACCATTAATGCAAGAGAATGCCTATTGCCCCATAGCCTCAATAGGAAAGTATGTTATCAAACCTTTGAATTTTTAATCAATCTGATAGTTGAGAAATAACATTTCTCTGATTACACATGAAATTTAGTATCTTTCCTTCTATTTGGGGACCTTTTATATCTTTCCCCACCCCTATCTCCCACTCTCTTTCTCTCTCCCCTATTTTATGTGTGTGTGTCTGTGTACCTGCTGCCTAATTTCAGAATTTGCAAACCCTATGGATGGATTAGACCCTAAGAATCTTTAAAGATGAAACTGAATCCCCTAAAACATATGTAATGGCAAAGACCAGAATCTAGGTGTCTCCATTTGTAATTTGCTTTTCCATTAAATTATTAACTTATACTCAATTCTTTTTATTACCCTGGGCCAGAAAAGTACCTTAGCTTTTCAAAAAAAGTGTATGCCACATAGAAGGCATTCAAGAAATATTTTTTGAACTATATGGTAGCATTAATCAAATTTGGATTCAAGTGGAAATGAACACTTTTTAAACATTTAGAATGAGACCTTATGGTCAAGTTCAGTACTTTCACCAAATTGTTACTTAAGAAAATGTACATGGCATCACTTAGGTGACATCTAATTGCTGCTTTAGAAATTCAATGAACAGACAATTTTATGACTAACCAATCGCAAAGGAATCTTAAAAATGACTTTATACATTCAGAATGTGTTCACAAGTAGATATATCAATTATTGTACTCATTCGTCCATAAGAATATTTTAGTGTATGCATTTTTTAAAAAAACACAACACCTTCATCAAGTATACTTGTCCATTTTCATTGTGTGTCTTGGTCAGCCAACCAGTGCAAAACTTTCTAACACTTTGGGTTGTTTTCTTGGACCCAAGAGTGAAGCCAGTCTTGTCCAAGCCTTATTTAATATATGATTATACGTATGTCTGAAGTGGTATGTGATTTTTTTAGGCAGTGGTAGAAGCCAAGAAGTTAATCCTGGGAGGACTTGAAAGAGCAGAGAAAAAAGAGGACACCATGATGTACCTCCTGTCTCTGAAGAATGCACTGCTCCCAGAAGGCATCCCACTCCTTCTGAAGTACGCAGAGGCAGGGGAAGGGCCCATCAGCCACCTTGCCACCACCACGCTCCAGAGATACGATGTCCGTTTCATAACTGATGAGGTAAATTCCCTGAGAGTATTTGCAACATTCACAGAAGGAAAAGAAGCCTGTCTAAACTTGAGTCAAATGCAAAGTTCTCTGAAGTCAGTCTCTTTTCCCCCGCAAACTAACGATCTCTCTTTCCTGTTTAGAAATAACTCATAAATTGAATTTAAGGCTATTCTGAAGCAGCCTTACATTTTGAATAGATAATGTCCTGTATCCTAAAGCATAAATATTGAAGCACATCCTCTTATTTTAAGAAACAAATTCTTTCCAGAAATACCTTTACTTCCGTAAGTTTTAAGATGCTGTTAAATGTTTCAACACTGAAATATCCTGGCTTAAGAATTCCTGTGTTGGTTCCTATAGCTGCATTTTCAGGAAGCTGTCTAAATTAAACTTGGGTTAGAACAGAAAAGTTTTTAAACCTCAAGATGGGCTGCCTGCTGAGAATGATATTTCCAGTTTGCTGCTGAGCACCTTCCTACCACTTTTGGGTCAAAGTTGGTAGGCTGCAAAGCATGACAGCCAGCATCATGGGCTTTTGAGACAGACAGACCTATACATTCTGGCTATTTTTTCCCAGTTGTTTGTGCTCAGGTGAGTTGTTTAACTCCTCTATGCTTGAGAACAAGGCCAGTATTTCAGGGAGATTGAAAAAAGCAGAGAGAGGTCAAATTGAAAGAACTATTTATAAATGCCTAGTATAAAACCTCCCCTGGTCATATCCCATATTTTTAGGCAATGCTGATAATGAACAAAATCATTTGTTGCCCTTATTTATTGCCACAGAATGCCATCATTTTGGCAGATTTTTTTTTTTTTTTTTGGTGTTAATGTTTTGTTAAGAAAAGGGTTCCCTAATGTAACTTGTGGACTTTGGGTGACAATGATGTGTCAGTATAAGTCTGTGAACTGTAAGAAATGTACGACCGTGGAGCAGGATGCTAATGGAAGGAGAGGTTGCTTGTGTACTGGGCAGGGGGAGACTGGAAGCAAGGGGTATAGAGGAACTTTCTGTACTTCCAGCTTGTTTTTGTTGTGAACCTAAATGTGACCTAAAAAATGAAGTTTATTAATTTTTTAAAAAAGGATAAGGAAAGATCCTGAGGGGACTTCATTGTAAGGAAATATCAGTTACTAGAGCCATTGCTCCCCAGTACCATCTTTAAAAATCGATATTAGATAATGGCATGATATGCTGCAATAACAAATGGACTTCAAAAATCCCAGCTTACGAAAAGGTTCTCATTCATGCCATGCCTAACGAAGGTAAGGGAAAATGTGGCCTGGAGCTTACTACAATAGTAGTAAAAAGAGAGAGAGAAGACACACAAGCTCTTAACTATCTCAGTCCAGAAGTCACCCGCGGCAATTCTGTTCATGGTCCATTGGCTAGAACTATGGTCCCAACCTAATCACAAAGAACCCTGGGAAATAAAAGAGCACATGACTATTTTTAAGAGCACTAACTCTTCCTATCACAATATCAACTTTAAAAATCTAGATATGCACTAAATTTGAACATCTTTGAACAGGTGAAGAAGACTTTGAACAGGATATACCACCAGAATCGTAAAGTTCATGAAAAGACTGTACGCACTACTGCAGCCACTATCATTTTAAACAACAATCCATCCTACATGGAAGTAAAAAACATTCTGCTCTCTATTGGGGAGCTTCCCAAAGAAATGAATAAATACATGCTCGCTGTTGTTCAAGACATCCTACGTTTTGAAATGCCTGCAAGGTATGATGGAGTGCGTCTGTCTCCCTGTTTATTTAAGCCAACTTATTTTATTTGTTCAAGCTTATTTGTACATTGGTGTAGTACACATGTGGCTAATAATAATGGTGTGGTCATTATGCTAGGTTATGTTATATAAAACCAGAATTTGCCAAATTTCCTCCGAGAACTATTTAGCAGGCCAGATAAAACAACTTTACTTTGGCACTATGATTTGAAACCTCTATGATTTTATTTAGGTCTCCTGTTCAATCTGGTAAATATATATTGCCAAACATTTGTAATGTTTTAAAACCCAACTACATTTTTGATAGGACTATTTTTAACAATAGTGCAACAAAGTGATATATGTTCTCACCAAGTGGTTTCTCATGTTAACTTTCCAAATGTTGGTGATCTAACATTGAAGCCTCATCCATCACAGATCAATGAATCTACTACTTAAGTTAAAAGCCTCAGGCATGGCTCATGTTTTGGGACTATGCAAGTTATGGGGAGGAGAATCAGCAGACTTCATCACTCTCAGTAACTTTTACTGGATTCATCTTCCTTCTCATTCTCAGATCTTTTCTTCTGAATTCACTGATGTCTCCCTTCAAAGTGGGGCTTCCCCAGAGCTCTCTGCAATTCCTCACTGAAATGAGAGGGCTGGAAAAGAAATTTCCATTTTCCCTGAGTTACTTGTACAGCAGGATCCCCAGGAAAGATAAAACTTGAGCACTTTCCGTTGAAAAGGAAAACAGATTATGGGGGAGTTTGGAAAATAGATAAAGACAAAGGAAAAAAAATTAAAGGCAGTGAAAGAAAGGGGTACAGAAGGAGTGAGTAGAAGGGAGAAAAGAGCAGGACAGATAAGGAAGAAGGAGCAGGTGAGTGAGGGAGGAAGAAGCAAAGTCTGTCTGTAGCCAGGTATTACAAGTGGAATGGATATGACTTCTGTTTCTTTGTTTGCTTTTATGAGACTCTGTGGAGGAGATCCTGGGTGGGTTTTCTGCTCTTGGCTTGTGAACCTAATGATGCAGGGGATGGTAAAAGAGGAGGCACTGGGGTAGAGAGCAGCCAGGGAAAGGTGAGGAAGCTGTCGCAACACTGCAGGGCAGATTCTGGGGACCAGAATGGTTAGAGTTGGAAAGAACATTATAGGGCCACTTCACTTGGTATCTCTCTCTGGTGTGGGATCTAGTCTCCTGGCAGGTGGTGTCCAGTCTTTGCTTGCACCAGTCCAGTGGCAGGGGGCCCACCTCCTCTGAGGGAACTTGTGTCATTATTCAAAGACTATCATCAGTACTTCTTTGTGTAACTGAAAGCTTCCTATTGGCCCTATTTGCCCCAATCCCTGGAGCAGAGCAGAGAAGAGCAGGTCAAATCATTCATCCACGTGCAGGCCCTTTGAATATTTGAAGACAGCCATCATGACCTCTTCATCCCTTCTTGTCCAGGCTAATAATATCTTATAACCTAGTGATAGTGTAGGGGGGAACCTATAGGGTCACTGTTCCCTCCCCTCAATAATTTTCTACCTCAGATTGAGATCCAGATTTCTTTAGCTGATTCTTTTGATTCTTTTGATATTTTTTGTATTATTACTATAATTTTATTATTACTGATATGATTAGTATACTAATCAGTATACTGATATGATTAGTAGTCAGGATTGGAAGAGCTCAACACTCCTTAGATAGCAGACAAGATGGAGGCATAGGGGTAAGATTTCAGACTTACTTTAGAGGAGATAATCATTTATTTATGGGTTTTACTGAGATGTCTCTTTAATTGAAAACTCCGTAAGTAGAAAAAATTCCTGGAAATGAACTGTGGCATGTCATCAGCCACTGATAATGTGAGAGAGCATAGAAAAATGTTTAAAGAAATATATTGGGAACACTGTCCCCCACCCCACCCCCAGTTTGGTACAGCTTTCCTTGAAAGTATATAGTACTTAACAATAAAACCATGATGATTCATACAACATGTGTTTTCCACTCCTGAGGTGTGTCCACCAGTTGGCTGAAGCCATTCATAGCTGGGTGTCCTCGCCTTGCTGTCATTTTGATACCAACCCAAATTTCACATATCTGAGGCATGAAGGGGAAAGCCCTAATCCTAACGCTGGCACTCGGGTGGGCACCTCCCCAGTCTTGGAGTGCGTGAGGAAAATTAGGCCCCATCTTCTTTCTACTGAGGATTTGTTTTTGTTTTTGTTTTTGTTTTTGTTTTTTTCCAAATCTGACTTGGGAAGCAGCCATTACAAAGAATGTGCAGCTTTTTCCTTTTCTGTGTTGCAGCAAAATGGTCCGTCGAGTTCTGAAGGAAATGGTTGCTCATAATTATGACCGTTTCTCCAAGAGTGGGTCCTCTTCTGCCTACACTGGCTACATAGAACGTATGTCACCCAAAAAGTGGTTCTCCCTCTCTTCCCTTCCCCAAGTTGGTATTGCTGGAACTGTTGCTAAATTACAGGGGTTTGGGTTTTTGTTGTTTGTTTGTTTTTTTGTTGTTGTGATTAGGTGCTCCCCACTCGGCGTCTACTTACAGCCTGGACATTCTTTATTCTGGTTCTGGCATCCTAAGGAGAAGTAACCTCAACATCTTTCAGTACATTGGGAAAGATAATCTTCACAGTAGCCAGGTAACTCATTTTCCATTAGTTTTGCTTCATAAAGTATGTAAAAACTTAGTCCAAAGTAAAATAATATATATACCAATGATAACACCATAGAATGCATAAGTTAACGGTGGCTTCTGCTTTAAGTTGCTCACGATTCCATCATCTGCAGGAGGTTGTATGGTTCCTAATTCCAAGTATGAACTTGAAACCTAAGTAATTTGATTTACTCTACTTGCCAAACATCTGTTTGTCATTTCAAAGCAAACCTATTCACAACATTGAAATTGTGCTAATATTTTTCAGTTATTTTTTTAAAATATTGTATCTTTATTCATAGATACAGTCCTTAATGTTCCATGTATCTAACTCTGGAATATGTTTTCCTTCTCTGGGTGTTTCTATGAAGAAATTGACTCCCTATAATAAAAATTTTGACTCTCTAAAGAGTCCATTATATTCTTCAGTACTACCAGAAGAAAAAAGAATAAAGTGTAGGCATTTGACAACTGGCTGAATTCCATCTCTTTAGTTTTATCCAAAATTTGGTTACAATCTATAAAAGCTTCCTAATCATAAAATATACTTTCTTTTTAGTTTTTATGTATATCAAATTATAACCTTCTCAATAAGCTCATTTAAGCATTAAAATGATCCAGTGCCACACAAACTTGAGTTCTCATCCATATTATATTACTATAGCCTTTGATGAGACTCTAGTTAGAATACTATGCCCTTCCGTCCTGAGGAATCACCATCTGTTTGCTGATATGTACTCGGAAATGCCAAACACCCAGTGGGTACGGGGGACAGAGAATATATATGATTCCTATGTATGGGAGAGATCTTGATGCGAGCCTCCATCATCTTTTCTTTCAGCTTAAGAGAGAAGTTGGAGAGGAAGGGTGTGAGTCATGGCTTAGAGTGCTCTGCACCCTCTCATAGCAGCAGCCTTATAGCCACTGTCCCAACATTTCTCCATCTCCTTTTAGGAGCTCTGCAAGACAGCTGACCCATTATGTATGACAGTCCTGGAGGGAGAGGGACTAGGAGTCTCAAGGATGATATCATAAAATGGAAAGCTCATGGCCTCTATAGTCAGACAGAAGGGGTATGAGTTTTACCTCTACCATTTGACTTTTTTGTCTTTTGACATCTACAAACGGGATAAAAGGTTGTAAGCATTAAATGAAGAAAACCTTGTGTTCAGGCATGGAGATTGTTGTTGTTGTTGTTATTGTTGTTGTTGTTTGCCTAGCTGCTGCAGATGCCTGAATTTCTGAGCCTTAGGAAAGTTCTAGCCACAGCTCAGAAGCCTCACCATCACTTACAGGGCAGGCAAGGAGCTGAAGTCAGGACTGTTCTCTCCCTTTTTTTCCCCAGGTGGTCATTGAAGCCCAGGGGCTGGAGGCCTTAATTGCAGCTACTCCTGACGAGGGGGAGGAGAACCTTGACTCCTACGCTGGCATGTCAGCCATCCTCTTTGATGTTCAGCTCAGACCTGTCACTTTCTTCAATGGATACAGTGATTTGATGTCCAAAATGCTGTCAGCATCTGGTGACCCTGTCAGTGTGGTGAAGGGACTCATTCTGCTGATAGATCATTCCCAGGTAATCTGTTCATTCTGCAAGTATTTATGGAATCCCTAACCTTTTGTAGGCACATTTGCAATGTACTCTGTGCTCAGAGGATACAGGACAAGGTTCAGCCTATCTAGGAGTTCACGTTCTAAGCACTCACCCTATTGGTATCTCTGCCCTTCCTCCTTTCCCCCTTTGTTATAGGGAAGCAGGGTTTTCTTTCACCTTTGTTAGTTGATGAAGACACCTCCTCACTGTTGGGGAAAAAGAGAAAATAATCAATATAACATGAGTACAGTAACGTCATATATAATTCAATAAAACTAGAAGGAAAAAAAAGAGAAAATACTGATGCTAACAGAAACAAGAAATTATGGAGAAAATAACCTAAGCCCTTTTGTTGTTGGTCAAAACTGTGTCTTATGGATATCCCTAGCTGCGAGGAAAACTGGTAAGTGTAGTTTTGCAAAGGGTGCATTGTCACTCTGAACTAGTCTGTGTTGTAGTAAATATGAATGAAGAGAAGGACAATCAGCAGTACCTGTCATATTCCTTAATCCTCAAGGTCACATATAAAGAAACAGTCCTCAGATTATATCAGAATTTTGCATTGCATGTATCTATTGCAGTATTAACTCTGAGGAGATGAATTTTTTGAGAGAGAGAGAGAGCGCGAGCATGTGTGTGCATGTGGCATGGGGGTGGGCCACAGGGAGAGGGAAGGAATCCTAAGCAGGCTCCACGCACAGCATGGAGCCCAATGTGGGGCTTGATCTCACGACCCTGAGGTCATGACCTGAGCTGAAATCAAGAGTTGGGTGCTTAACCGACAGAGCCACCTAGGCGCTCTGAAAGGGAGATGGATTCTTAATGAAAAATATCTCTGAAGAAGGCATAAGAGTGCTGAGGAAGTGATCTACATTTTAAGACACAGGAATCATGAGAGTACAGCCCCATCTGTGTGTGCCCAGCTACCCATCAACAATCTCTGATGGTCAGAATTGGACTGTAAAACTTGATGAAAACACAATAATCTAGAAGTCAGACTCAGCAGACTTCTTATGTAAAGGGTAGAAAGCAAATATTTTAGATTTTGTGGACCATATGGTCTCTATTGCAATTACTCAGCTCTGCCACCCTAGAGTGAAAACAGCCCTCAGCAATATATTAACGAATGAGTGTGGCAGTGCTCCAACAATATTGTATTTACAAAAACAGCAAGTGGGCCAGATTAGCCTGCAGGACGTAGTTTGCCAACTCCTGATCTAGATAATCTTGTAAAGTTCTTCTGTTCATTAAGAGAGGGTACCTAAGGTGCATTCTAAGCCAAAGATCATCCTGTGGCTATTAAAACATAACCCGATGTCTGTGTATTTCCTGTTGGAGTACTTGGCAGATCAGGGGTTACTATACAAATAAGCTGTTTGAGGCTCCCAGGTTCTGCCGAGCAATCCAGTAATGCCATCCCAGCTTCAGAGGCACATACCACTCTAGGTCAAATGCTGACAGTGAAGGAAATTTTGGCAGTGGATAGCCTGTCAAAGCCTCCAGGGCAGATGGAATTACTCTGTGCTTACTCTCACTCTCTCCTTTTGGCTAATTGGATTACTCTTCAGAGAAGGATGTCTGATAAAGTCAGCTTAACAGGGAGATCCTCTTTAGCCAGCAAAGAACATATTTTCCTGAATGGAAACAATGGGATAAGTTTTCAAAATACCAGTGTTTGAACTCTAAGAGACACCTCTGAGACCAGAGGTCCAAGATCAAGGGGTCACACTAGCTACAAATGTAATGCATCTTGTTCTTGTAGCTCATAGGCAATAATTTCAATAAATATGCATTCTGGGTCAAATGAGGACATAAGCCCATGATCTTTATTACAATATTTCTCAGAACATGATTTCTTGCACACCAGGAGACAAGAGAGTTATAATTGTGTGATAGCCATGTGTGGTAATAGAAAAGTATCCTCCCTAGAGACAGTCTGGGTATTCATTCTGTCTCCATGTGTGGCTACCAGGCCTGATTTCCTTTTCAATCTTCAGATGTAAGTAGACCATGGAAGATTAGTATGGGAATTAAATGACATACCAAATGTAGAGCTTTGGGGACACAGTAGGTACTCAAAACTGTTAGTTCCACTTACTTTGTACCCTTAAAAATGAGAACCGATGCACTATGTGATTAAGACCCTTTCACAAAGAAAGAGTGGTGTGTCCCTCTACAGGGATCAATGTTTAGACCTTCAATAGGAGCTCAGAAAAATTCCTCTGTGACTACATCTAAGAGTTCTGTCATGGTCCCTTTGCATGAGAGAAATGGAATCTTCCCAGAAAGTCAAGGCACTCCTTAAAACCCAGACTGCAATGGAAATGCTCTCTCTTCACAAAAGGCACATTGTCTCAAAGCTGTGAAATAGTCTTTTCCATGGTATTTGGTGTGTTTTGCCATCTACCTAATATATGGCCAGTGGGAAAGCCAAAGTCCACATCAAAGAGCTTTTTTTTTATTGAATGGACTAACAAGATGATAGTTTTCAAATAGGGAAGAAAGGAGAAGATCCAAAGAAAGAAATACTTCTTCTTTTATTCTTTTTAGAGAGGAAGAGAGAGAGAGAAAGAGAGAGTGTGTGTGCATGTATGAGTGAGCACAGGTGAGAGTAGAGGGACAGAGGGAGAGGGAGAGAGGGAATCTTAAACAGGCTATATGCTGACCATGGAGCTCAATCTCATGATCCTGAGATCATGATCTGAGCTGAAATCAAGAGTCGGAGGCTTATGGGTGCCTGAGTGACTCCATCAGTTGGGCATCTGCCTTCAGCTCAGGTCATGGTCCCAAGGTTCTGGGATTGAGCCCCACATAGGGCTCCTGCTTGGCGGGGAGTCTGCTTCTCCCTCTCGTTCTACCTGCCACTCCCCTGCATATATTCTGTCTCTCTCTCTATGTCAAATAAATAAATTTTTAAAAATATTTTAAAAAAAAGAAGAGTTGGACACTTAATTGACTAAGCTACTTAGGCACCCCAGAAAGAAATACTTCTAAGACAGGGCACACAGTAGGGCTCATTTGGGAACAATCATGGTTATAATTCAAATGCAGAACTCTGAAATCTTGGTTCTGTAGTTCATAGGCATTGGTTAAAATTTGGGCATAATTATTCTAGCTTTCTCAGGATAATTTGTGTTCCTTCAATATTAGTTATGATGCATGAGACAACCTGGCATCCTACTATAACCATATTTAGTTCTAGACTAAATGTAGCTGTAAGTATTCTTAAGATTCTCTCCTAATGTGTCCTGAGTTCTATATTAAGAAGCTCACACTTTCATCCAAGTGTCTTTTAGACTGAAAGTAGCTTCATGCCACAAGGAGACTTTTTGGTATACCTGGTTGTAAACCAATGCCTTTGATTGAGATTTCTTGCCACTTTTTTCAGAAAGCGGAGAGAATTCAGAAAGATCAATATGATCCTTTCTAGAAAGCAAAATTGTGGCATTTATAGTTAGGGAAATCATGTCTTGTTTGGTCTGAGTAGGGCAGTTACATAAGGAAGTTAGTCGTGCTGCCAGCTACCATGAGCCTAAGATCTGTGGAGGGATATCAAAATTAAAGATACTGAGCCTTTTTTTCTCCAGAGCCATTATCTTTTCCAACACTGTCCTCAGGCAATGTGATGGCAATCCAGCTGAAGAAATTTTTAGCCAACATCACCCCAGCTAATGTCCTCAGAAAATGCAAGACTTAAAGGCTAAATACTGACGAACACATTGACTAAATACTTCAGCGAATCCACAGTCTGCTTCTAGGGATCAAGATTAGGATAATGTGTTTCCAAGCCTCAAGAAAGACTCCAACCTTAGCACAACTCAAATGTTATTATCTATAGCAGGAGATTGAACATGCCTTTGGGAAGGGGTTGACTAAATTTGTGTATTGTTATTATTACTATTATTAAATATTTTTGCTTCTAGGAGCTTCAGTTGCAATCTGGACTAAAGGCCAATATGGATGTCCAGGGTGGTCTAGCTATTGACATTTCAGGTGCAATGGAGTTTAGCCTGTGGTATCGGGAGTCTAAAACCCGGGTGAAAAATCGGTAAGCATATATATAATATTCTATTCAATGAACTGCAGAGATATGCTTCTGGAACTGTTTAGCTCTCTGACTTTTCAAAACCTATGTTTTCTATTTGTAATTATTAAATCATGGAGTGGGAAGAAACCATAGGAAGTCATTCTTTCCATAGCTTCTCATGAGTAGGCCAGTTATCTGATCGATTCAGCAGCCAAGAATCATCATGCTTGGTATTTGGTGTGCTTGCTTCACGAATGAGAAGTTCATCTGCTCTTGGTTATTCCACTTTGGTAACTGACAATGTTGTCAGGAAATGTGACTTCAAAGCAAACTTTTTACTTTATCCCTCTTGTTGGGAGTTTTTAAAAAAAGATTTTATTTGTGTGTCAGAGAGAGATAGAGAAAGCAGAAGCAGGAGGAGCTGCAGGCAGAGGGCGAAGCAGACTCTCTGCTGAGAAAGGAAGCCAATGTGGGACTCAATCCCAGGACCTGGGGGTCATGACCTGAGCCAAAGGCAGCCACTTACCCAACTGAGCCACCCAGGTGTCCATCTTGTTGGGATTTTAAATCTTTACTCCTTTGCTATCTTCAGTGGAGAAAAATAAAAAGATGTTGCAGAATCGAAGTCTTATATATTAAGTCCTTAAGTTTTTTCATTAGTATTCTTTTTTTAAAATAAAATATTCTCAACTCCTTTAGTTTTTCTATGTACATGTTGAGTCAAATGGACATGTTTTATTTTGAGAATAAGACAATGTTTCTGAACCAGTGTGATAATCAGGAGAATTATTCTTCTGTTTGTTGTTGAATTGAAGAAAAGAAAATGGAAGTGCAATTGATGTTTCCCTTTTTGGATATTTAAAAATACGGTGGGGCAGAAGTGAGATAGGAGTGGTAAAATCAAAGTTTTGATTTCTATGAAACTGTACTTAAGGAATTGAGAAATCAAAAGGCAGCACATTTTAATGTGAAAGGTGACCCACAGTGTTACTAAAAGGAACCAAAGAAGAGAAATTAAACAGGCCATCAGAGGGATAAGCAGTTTAATTTAGGGCTTCCCAGTGAATCCATCTTCTTTCTCCTTTTTTGAGTTATTTTCTAGATAGAAATTCCCCCAAATTAAATGGAATTGAATTTTTGCTGAAAGAAAACAACAAGATCCACACCCAAAATTATCTGGATTTTTAAAAAGGACACAGTATCCCTAAGAGTTTACCAGAATCCATGCTAGAGCCAAACTATCTTTAATTTTTCATTTGTTCATTTAAAAAATATCTCTTAAGCCTTTGTTGAGTGTAAGATATTAGAAGATATGGTAAGGGATTCAGGGACTTACATGAAACCACCTCTGACCTACTTTTACACCAACAACAGCAAGAGGGACTTTAATTTTCACAGCCAACTTTGATAGTATCCTTCTATCAGAAAAGCCTGTGCATAGAGCTCTGATTTAATTGGGGGAGTAATTTCGCACAATTTCATTTAAAGTCTACAATTAAATTAGAGTGATCCTAGAGGTAAACCTTCTACTGGGATTGTTTATCCCTTCATTGTCATCCAAGCCATGTTCCCTTGTCAACCCAATCTGCCAGTCTAGTTCTCTAGGCGACTACTGGGGAACCCACCATAATTGTCCTTCCTGGAGCAATTCATTGTACATGCCTCACTGTAGGAATAGTTTCTGGTGACACAACATTTTTTTCAAATATCTTGACAACCATAGACTTATGTCTCTGAAGACTCTTTAGAGAAAGTAATGAAATGGAACCAAAATAGCTCCATAGAAGCCCACAGAGAGATAGTTACCAAGAAAATTGTTGAATGTCAGCTGTCTTTGTGAGTTTGGACTTTTTTTAAAGCTAGCTCAGGTAGTTCTGACTTGAAAGGATCAGGTTCCAGGCACGTTTTCCCTTTGGCCCTTGGTATCACACAGTAGTGCCTGCTAGACCCTTCATTCTGACATCTGGAATTGAAGGCCATGGGTGGGTACAGGGGAAGGGCAGACCTTCACGGCCTCATCCAGCGGACTAACCAGGCCCTGATTCCTAGCAGAACTCTGAGCACATTTAGGTCTTATAGTAGTCCTTTATATGTTTCCTTCCAGTTGTGAGTTCAGACCCTGTGAAATTAGAGCTATTGGTCCAGATTCCAGATCAGTTAAATGTGATAGTAACAGGGTTTTTTTGGCCTAAATCTTTAGGGTGGCTCTGGCAATAGTTGGCAGCATCACTGTCGACTCCTCTTTTGTGAAAGCTGGCCTGGAAATCAGTGCAGAAACAGAAGCAGGCCTCGAGTTTATCTCCACGGTGCAGTTTTCTCAGTACCCGTTCTTGGTTTGCATGCAGATGGACAAGGATGGAGCTCCATTCAGGTAAGAGGCAGTGCTCGTGGAATGTTCCTGGGAAGTCTCCAGTTCTCCAAGAACGTACACCCAGTTTTGAGCATTTAGTTTCAGAAATTGAAAGAAAATGGTAAAAATACAGTGAAACATAAATTTCCTTTAAATAAATAAAAGAATAATTAATAAGGTTTAAAACTCAGTTTCTAGGATACCAAGAAAATATGAGGACTAATTCATTTGATTCTGGGGATAATATTGTATTCTTGTCCAGAAATTATTTTTTCAAGGTAACAAAGGGATTTGAATTAACCTAAGAGTTGCCACATAGTTTCAGCAAAAATAGTGGACGTGTACTTACTATCAGCTAACTTCACAACTATCTCCTAGACCAAAAATTCAAAACAAAATACTTGGCAATCATTTACCCTGGTTTAAGAGCCCAAATTAATTCATAATTCTTAGGTAATCATACAATAGGAACTTGGTCTTGTTTAAGTTTTGGGTTAAGCTTGAGAGTTTGGGACTTGGAATTGAAAAAAAAAATGCTTTCAGTAGAATTCTTAGAGTCTCAAATACCAAACACCTGATTGTTCTTGAAGCTTCCTATCACCTCTTTTACCCTACAGCTTCTCATTTACACTGTGTCCTTTGAATCTTGTAACAGTTGTTTATAACAATACTATCACATGGAAATAGAAGCTTTGGTTAGCATCAACTCTTCTGTAGTTCTAGAGGTCTCCCCAACACACATTGTTAACCATGAAGGCAACTGGATATTTAAAATAGCAAGCATATCTTATATCATCTCCTTCAATAAGTAGACCAGAGTTGAGCACCTTCTTTATTGTGCTGATATTTCATGACTCATATGAGGAATGTATAAATAATATCAGTACAAATATGAATAGGTTATATTTTTACAGAATAAAAGCTGTTGTCTTATATTAGCTTATATTTAGAATAAATCTCCATAAATGAATTAAAAAAAAAATCAGCCTTCCAGTGGTCGAAATACAGTGACCACCAAGCCAGGCTCATGACTAACTGGTTTCATTCCACATTCCACTTGGCCCAGAGCTCTAGAAATGTTTGTCTGTCCTCATTCTCAGCCTACATCCAGTTGGACTAGCTACTTACTCAAAAGGGGAGTGCTCCCAAGGTGGGGCTCCTGGAATGAGGGGTGGGAGACATAGCAAGGCCTGCAAAGCTTAACAGCATCTCCAAAAAGCTGAGAGGAATTTGGTCCTTCATTCTAGAAAAATATATGGCAGGACTCCCATATTCCAGGCATTCAAAGTATATCTGTCGGTGTAGAAAGAAATGGGAAGAAAACAATCACCCCATTCATGGGAATGGAAGCTGGTAGTCTTTGGCACTACTGTCCTTTCTCAAATTGCTTTGAAACGTAAGCTTCAAGTGCACACGCTCAGTAGCTTGGCTCCGAGGAGTGTGGGGTCCCTTTAATATGTGTGTAATTTTACTATTGTTGCTGTCGTTATGCAGGCAATTTGAGACCAAGTATGAAAGGCTATCCACAGGCAGAGGTTATGTCTCTCGGAGAAGAAAAGAAAGCGTCATAGCAGGATCTGAATTCCCGCTCCACCAAGAGAACTCTGACATGTGCAAGGTGGTGTTTGCCCCTGAGCCTGAGAGTAGTTCTGGCGGTTGGTTTTGAGACTGATTGGTAAGGTTTCACTTGGATCTGTCTTCTGAGAAGGGATACGATGTGACATGCCTATATACTTGCTCTCTGAGAGCACAGTGTTTACATATTTACCTGTATTTAAGATTTTTGTAAAAACCTCTGAAAAACCTCAAATGATTAAATATGGGCCCAATTCCGTGTAGTACTGATAGTGTCATTTTGAGCCAACGTATGTGACACTTCCAGCAGCATTCCTAGTGTTCTGGTACCTCTGTCCATCCCATTTGGTACAGTGGTAAGAGTGTTATTCCGAGGAGAAACAATTGTCTGTAAAACACAAAACAAAACACACATACCCTCAGGAGAACCCAACTTTGTTTCAACGATTTTCAGTCAGTGTTTGTGAAGCCCTCTATAGGACCTTACACATGCTTGTTTCTACCAAATATCTTGCCTAATCAGGGGAAAAAAACAAAAACAAAACAAAACAAACAAACAAACAAAAAACGACCTTTTTTTTTTTTTGAGGGGAAGTTGGGGGAGGCGATAAGACTTTATAAAGACTTTTGTCACAGCTTCAAAGTTGGATATTTATCTGTCATTAGTTTTACTAAGCACTGAGGTAGAAGGCACACAGAATTCAAACACAGCATCATCTTTCCACTGACCACATGGTCACATTGCTAGAAGAACGCCATTTTGCCCTCTGCCTTCTGCCCTGCAAGGATATCGGACTTAGCAGTATGAGTTAGAAATACGAACTTCAAAAACTCCATTTGATTGTACTTGTGCTGTGTCTCTTTGAGACTGCAATGTGGGACACTGTCCTTTATAAGGGACATTTTCATATGTTCATTAGTTTTTCTTTCATTCAAGTGTTTTGTGGTGGAAGTTCTAGTCTGTTTGACTACAGTTTGTACAAAACCCAGAATGGCCAAGAGAATTTACTACTGCTTTAAGAACCTGATGGATTTGGACTTCTAAAGTATGAAATCAAGAAAAGTTTGTCTTTATTTGTACAAGTTAAAAGAGCCATGTTAAACGTTTTCAAATACCTATTAATAAACAAGATGTATGTGTTGCTAGTGATAAACTCAAAACAGGTAACAGGTGCTCATTTGTCCATTAAACACACACACATACACACATGCAATGGAAGTTTAGCTAGCCCACCACTGGTTGTAAATTTTAAATGATATGTGATGAAATAAATATATGGACATCCTATTGAGTTGTCTTTGTCTTCCATTACTTTGAACACCATATTTCTCTCTTTCTGCCACTTTCTGAGCTCAGACACATACACTGTAGGCCTCTGACACTCTATAGAACAGGACGGATTCTCTAATAGGAGGTCAGAACCCTGTGGAATATGAGCCACAGATTACCAACAGTCAGAACCTTGTCAGGACCTGCAAACTTGAAAACGAGCTCTAATTCCAGTTTCCATAAGGCTCTGGACTGGCACCTTCATTGTGGTGTTATGAGAAGAAAGACAGGAATCAAAACCTAGAAGGGGCCATGTGTCATGGGTGGCGGCATTGGTCTTGGGAGAAGCATTCTGTAAAGACACTCATGCTACATACAACAAAAGCAAGTTGACCTCGGGCACTAAGCCAAAGATGTCATAGGCCAAGGAACCTCAGCCAGGTGATGCTTAACACACCACAACTGCTTCTGTAAAATGCAAAATAGTAATTGACTCAAGAGTGATGTGTGTGGTGTCCTAGACATCAGTGTTATACTACTTCCCAACCCCTTGTCTGCCTGGCTCCATCAAACACGGTCGCCCTTTTGGAGAATTGACTAACTTGCTCCAGAGAGATAAGAAACCTGAAGCATAGGACAAACACTGACTCCTTTCTGGATGAACAAGGTAGAAGTCTAAGAGGGCTGGAGTGATAATCCATATTTTGAAATGACGTACTGGAGCCAAAAATACCACTATAAGCCTCGCTTGCTGTCTCTAATTCTGACAATTCCCTGTTTCAAACATCAGTGTCCAGACAGCTTTGTCCTCGGCAAAGGTGTCTGCCGGGCAAACGCACAACCCTTGGACATGAGTCCTCTGCCCTGTCAGCTTCTTCCTGCAAACCTGAAGGATTTAGTCTGGCTGCATTTCTGCTGTGGAGGGCCTACTGCCATTCCCTGTACCTCATCAGATCTCTGCACACAACAAGTTGTTCCCTGCTTCTCTGAACCTGGCCGCCTTCAGAAATATCTTTAAAGCTAACACTTATTTAGTGCTTGTTATGTGGCAGGTATTTTAAACATCATATATGTATTAGATTATTTAATTCTCACCAAAACTATATTGAGTAGGTAGCATTATTATTTCCATGTTATAAACCATTGCTGTCCAATAGAACTATAAGGCAAGCCACAGAAGCACTTTAAACTTTCAAGCAGTGACTTTAAAAAAATAAGCAGAAACCAGTGGAATGAATTTAATAATATGTTTTTAATCCAATATATGTAAAGTGTTGTATCAACATGTAATAAATATAAAAAGTACTAATGGGATATTTTGGGGGGGAGGAATAGATCTTTGAGTTGTGCTATATAATTTGCATACACTAGCACATCTCAATTTGGATTAGCCCCATTTCAAGTGTTTGATAGCCCTGTGGGGCTAGTGGTTACTGAACTGGCCTGTACAATTTAATGGAGAAACTGGGACATAGAAGACATTTGGACAATTCACCCCATAGAAGACATTTTCTCAGCTAAATAATGGTAAAACTAGGGTTCAAATATAAGTGGTCTTTTCCAAGACCTGCTCTCTGACTTTGTGAATTCTATATTCATACTATATTTTCCAGATCATTTTGGTTTTTAAAAATTTGCTGCTAGAAGAAGCCAGACAGTAGTTATGAAAATGGCCAATGTGGGACAGCAACTATAAGGCTTTAAGCTGTATTACAAAATTCTAGAGCCAGCGCCCTTTCTCTGTGGGTCTTGTGTCTCTGTCTCTGATAGTACCAGGAGTCCTTGTATACTTAGAGACCTCTATTTTCTTTGCCAACCAATCTTTCCTCCATGAAGAGTATTACAGTTTTAGCTTTAAATTTAGGTATTTGTTCCATTTTGAGTTAATTTGTATATAATGTGTGTAGTAGTGGATCCAAATTTATTCCTTTGTAAATGGATATCCAATTGTCCCAGCAGCATTTGTTGGAAGCTGATTCTTTCCAATTAAATTGTTTGTAGTTCCCTTGCTTAAAATTGATTGACTATAAACAATCATTTTTGGATATCAGTTTTATTCCATTGATCTGTATGTCTATCTTTATGCCAATACCACACTCTCTCCATTACGGTTGCTTTGTGGTAAGTTTTGAAATTGGGAAGTGTGAGTTCACCTCCTTTGTTCTTTTTCAAGATTGTTTTGGCTGTTGTGAGTCCCTTGAGTTTCCATATGGATTTTAGGATCAGCCAATCAATTTCTACAAAGCTAGCTAGGAAGCTAGCTAGGAATCTGATAGGGCTTGTGTTGAACTTGTGTATCAGTTTTAGGAATATTGCCACTTTAAATTTAAATGCATGAACATGGAGCATCTTTCTACTTACTTAAATGTTCTTTATTTCAACAGTGTTTTACGACTTTCAGGATCTAAGTTTTACACTTCTTTTGTTAAATTTATCCCACATGTTTTATTCCTTTTGATGCTATTATAAATGAAATTATTTTCAAATTTCAAATTTACTTTCAAATCTAAGTTGTTTGTGGCAAGTGTTTTTATATATTGATCATGAGTCCTGCAACCCTACTGAACTTACTAATTTTGGTAGGTACTTAGGAATTTCTATGTAAAAGATCATGCCGTCTGGAGACAGAGATCATTCTACTTCTGCCTTTCCAATCTGAATTTCTTTAATTTAATCTTATGGCTACATTGGCTAGAATCTCTAGGACACCACTGAATAAGGGTGGTGAGAATAGTCATAGCCAAGAGAATAGTGCCGGTAAAGACGGTGATGAGGAGTAATGGCAGACAGACAGTCATGATCACAGAACATAAAAGGCAGGCTCACATCATCTGGGAACGGCTCTAGTTCTATTTTCACTAAGTAATATATTTGAAAATTCATAAAATCTTATTTGAAACTTTAAAGGATTTAAATAGTCTATGTGCTCTCCCTAAATATGGGGCGGAGGAAAGCATCTATCCTGGCATCAAGAATCTTCCAGATTCAGATCAACTGAAGCTTCACTACTCTTCATCAGTTTAGTTGTTAACTAAAGATCAGTGGGGATGGCAGGGAGTGAGACAGGAGGCCCGGTTTGGAATTCTAGTTCCACCGCCTACTGTTTGAATGATCTTGGGCATGTGACTCAATCGTCATCTATAACATGGGTATGATAATCTCTTTTTCACTGGGTTATTTTAAGCTGAGATAATGCATGTGCCAAGCATACAATAGCATTTGATAAATGTTTTCTACTCTCATGAATGTTGTTTTTAATATTAGAGAGGTGGTGAGCAATGTTCTCACTTAACAATCAGCTTTGATCTTATTATTTGTTAGCAACGAGGTTCGTTGGTGCTTTATTTTGCCTTTACCTTGCAACTAGTTGAGGAGCACAGTGGTCCTCTAACTCTCAGGGCTTAGTGCAGTATGGTTTGGGTATCTAAACCTCTTTTATGGAGCATGCAGAAAGGCAGGAAGTAGAGCAGTACAGCAGTGAAGGCAATTTGGAGTAAGATACTCCTGCACACCTGCAGTCTCACCTTTTCCATGTGCTCCTGCTATACAAACCTCCCAGCCTCTCAGCTTCTGCATCTGTAAAATGAGCAGCCACTCATAGGATGTTGTAAAGATGAAGTTAAGGTAATGGGCTAGTGCCTGGCATGTAGCAAGCACTTAGTAAGCATTCCCTAATATTAACTTTTAATATGTGGTCCTATAGAACTCCTGAATAAAGCAACATTTTATATTCTGACTCCATGGAGCTAATCTATTTTCTGTATTTTCACCCATGGGCATCATGGATGATCAGGAAGATTACCAGGTTTGCTTATTTGCTTATCATGAAATCACTAGTTTCACATTATAAAAATCATTTTCATATTTTATGACGTGACTTTTGCCCATTTCTCCACATGCCCAAGCTGACTTCAGATTTCACTGATTCTTTCTTTACCAAATTGCTTTGCTTTTGTTCTGTGTGACTGATCATTACCAAGAAGAAAGAGTATT